CTAGATTGTCCAAAGAATCAGTGATTTTTTGCTTACAAAGTTTGATTTGTATCCTATTCGAATAAAGCATTTCATTCTTTTTATTCATTTTTCAGTTTGTGTTGCTATTGAAGCGTGTTTTCTCTAGTTTTTTTTAACTATTATTTATTTTATTCCCACTCATAAAAGAGTACACATCTGTTGTTATCCAATAGTTACTTTTCGTATCAAACCCAGACTATTATATTCATATGTCACTATATAAGGCTTTTATGAAATAAAGTGCATTCTTTCATTCATCATTCTAACTCCTCCAACCCAGCATCAACCCAATCAACCCCCAGCATTCTAGAGTTTGCATGCCCCCTACCCTCACTGCTGCACCCCTCACCATCAATCTCCCCGAAATAAAGTCACATCTCACGTGAATCAACGCCACATAACCTAGGACAGGTGTACATATCGATCGGACAACGTTTCGTCCGCAAGCGACCGAATCCGGTAGCCGGAGTAAGCTAACTGCTCCCGGAGTCGGGCTTCTTCCCAGAGCATTCCATTGAATTCGTGCAGGATAGCGAACGCAAGCGTAAAAGGGGTGTCGAGTTCTACGGATTTCGATTATGATTTTGGGGGTAGGCGGAAGTCTGAGGGGGCGATTCTCAGTTTCTGGTTCAATCAATCGGATGAAGATTCATGGACATATTCTGAGAGCTCACATCAAGTGCCAATAGCAAAATGTAGATTGATTTTCAATATGTCTACGAATAAAGAAGATATAAGCAAAATCATAATTTGGGATTTTTTGGTTTTTACTGTATATCTCCAGAACCAAAGGAGCTACATTCGATTTTTTACATCATTGAATAGGTCTCTAAATTACACAATTTTGCCACAATTTAACCGACACTCTATCTCTTATCGTTAACGAGATCCCCATGTACAGAAACGAATTTCAATAGCCCTGTATAATGTATATACAATTATACAATCATACATTATACATTAATGTATACATTGTATGCAATGTATACATTAATGTATACGTTTGAAAATGTCCTTAAAGGACGAAACTGTAGTAACGTTAGTTACAAATAAAAGTGGTAAAAATATAGAAAGTGTCAATTCTCTTTTCCCTTATTTGTCTCTGAAGTTTTTGTAGTTTTTCATCATTAGTGTGTGGGCTGTGAAATGATGGACTCTTCATACTTTTGTTACCGATTTGGGATTGAATACGACTTTGTAATCTCCTGAAGCATTTTGTGGGGCTGGTTAGATATATTCTGTAGGAGTTTGAAACCGAAAAATTCAGGAGGAGGAATAATTTAGAGTGGGAGACTAGATTGTCCAAAGAATCAGTGATTTTTTGCTTGCAAAGTTGAGTAATTTCAATATACACTTTAGAAATAATCAAAATCTTGAAAATGCAGTCAAAGAAATACCTACAGTAAAAATACGATGAACGTTACATGTTGAAACGTTAATATAAAAATGAACTGATGAAATTCACAGTTTTCAAAGTTAAACTCCTATTCTCAAACTAGATAGATGAAAACTGTGTGCTACATTTTTAGAAAGTTAATTTTAAGCTCTATTGAAATATGTAGGAATATTTAGCGTGTCTCATTAAAAAACAGTTTTCTGCTAATTAGTTCGGACTCTCATTGTCTAATATGATATAAAATGACTTGAAATCCCTGAAAGGAACAATAAAATCAAATTGAAAAGCTGAAAATAACGATTATATGAGTCTAAAAAACCGTGAAGCGAAAATGAAATACAATTTTCAATTGTTACCTGTATTTTATTTTATTGTAATTTCAGTTTTTTCCTTGGTATAATTGTTATTTTTCAGATAATTTTTTTTAAATTTTTACTGATTCTTGCAGGGATTTCAAATCAATTTATGATGAATGAATGAAATGCAATATTTCCATAGCTGAGGTAATGATCTAAATATTCAANAAGGCACTATTACTGGAAAATCATTTACTTCAAAACGCACCTGGAAAGTGAAATACAGTTCTTTGTGGTGTAGAAAGATAGCCTATTTGCATCACGCCACTTTTAAACTCCAACCAATATCGGTCTCAATATCACTGAGTTATCATTGTTCCTTGAATGTTATGGTGTGATCAACAAACAAAGTAGATTCTCCTTTGATATCAACGAAAACTGAGTCATTTATGTATATCAGGAACAGCAATGGTCCAAGAACAGAACCCTGAAGGATCCTACGACTCACTAACCGAAAACATTCTAAATTAATATCCCTAAAACCATATACTTCTGAATCGTGAAAAATACTGCTGTTCATTAAGAAACTCATTAATATTCCTATCCTCTGTGGCCTAAGGGAATATTTAACCTCAAACGGAAACATCAACATCACCGTGAAACTCTTTTTTCGGTAGAGTAATCTCAATGAGTGGAAACGGGCAATGCATACCTTCAAATGAAAAAAAATCCACGGGGAACGTAGCAAGTTTGATAAAATTCCCTAATCTGATTATTAAAATGAAGGCTGTTTATTTGGTGAGATTAGCTCAGGGAATGGCAGTTACATAAATCCGGCTGAATTGGTGCAAAAAAAAATGTTTTCACGTTTATTTCTGCCAAGTCCATGTTCATGAAGGGAATTAAGATTTGATGAAAAATGAAACAAATGTAGCTTTACTCTGAGTGATATTTTACAAGAGAATATAATGTTGAACGTTTTTTGGTGTTCGGTAATGATAATAATGATCGGTTGAATTAGTTGTTCAGATTATAGAAGACCTTGGTGGAATGACTTGAATTTACTCATGACGTAATGACATTCATTCGCTTATTTGATTGAATTCCAGCCATAGGAATCTTGTTTTTGTATAAAGATGAAGAAATAGAAATGTTAAACCTGTCTTTTCCATTATGATTGTATTGTTCAATATCTAAATAGTTTTTATGTTAGCAGTTTATGCTCAAAATACATTTTCACCTGAAATGATTTATTTTATGAATATATACTATCCCTCCGATTATCAACTGAAGCAACCGCCACTGTTTTATGGTCCAACTTACTATTCGTAAACAAACAAAGTTATGCTGCCTTCAAGATAAGGATGCAAAAGGCCATTCTATTGTCTTTTGTTACCCTGAGGGTAAAATACAAGCAACCATTAAACATTGAACCATCAACAAGAAATGAAAATCAAAAATTATTCAAAAGAAATGAAAATTGAAAAATTCCAAGCCAAGTTCACGACGTTTCGATTGTTAGTATCCACAACCGTCTTCGGGACGGACTGGACTTATTCCATCGACAACTATCTTAATTTCGACCAGGTTGGAACCTGGCTTCCTTACCCTTACAACTGGTGTTTGTCAGAAGGACAAACGGGTCCTTCATGGTGAACCCCCTACCTGGCTGGGGTGGGTGAATGAGGAGATTGTTCATCCATTAACTGGGGACATGAGGGCCTCATTTGATAGAGAATCGAGGCCTTTTGTATCGGGAGGAGTTGTCTACAGCATAATATATAGCTTCCCTAACTAACGGTGGACTTATTCCTCCGAGACCTGACTATTCATAGATCATTCGAGTGCTTTCACCTATTCCCTCTTTCCGTTTCATCGGTTTTAGCGGGAGCCGACGGTTTGGCAGGAGTTGGCCGTGTTCCGCTTGGTTATAGGTTTCCATATGTTGTGTACCTCTTCGCTAGCTTGGCTAGGTGCATTGTTGGACAACATATATGCAGCTTCTTTGGATTTTCTCCTAAGCCAGTGTTTCTCCTTGTGCATGATTTCAGCTTGAGACCACTTGATATGAGTCCAAGCATGAGATTCTGCAATTCCTGATTTGCTTGTTTCTCCTCGCTGTGTGTGCGTGTGTGTGTGTGTGTGTGTGAAAAACCACATTCTTTCAGGAATTTCAAATCGATTTATATCATAGTAGACAATGAAAGTTAGAACTAATGAAATGTACCACGAAACATTGTCAACCACCTCAAAACAAAAAACATATAGTATTATAATAAAAAACTTAAATTCACCAACAAATTTTATTCGAACAATGATATTTCAACTTGTGCTCTCAATTTGAAATCATAGTGACATTGCGAGGTTGTGAGTTTTTTTTCAACTGTAGGATGCCTCACTTCAGTCTACTTTTGTACAGTGCTCCAAAAGCTTCAGCCCCAGCTTGCATCACTTCATCATAGCCGAAGGACTCCATGGCCGTCTTGGTTTTCTGGAACCACTGGAAAAGATTCTGATGTGCGGAAATATCACATGAGCCGCATGCCTAAAAAGTTTACGTCCATATATAATTTGTCGCCTGAAGTGAATAATTTTTTAACAGCATTAAAATAGTTATGAAGCAAAGAAATTAGGAAACGGGGATAAAGTAAGGTGTATTTCAGGGATGGACAAACAGTTTTCACAATTTATAGGTTTAGAAGATCTAACTGTTACATGGATTGTTGAAATCAAAGAAATTGCAGCAAAATCAGCCACTGTCATATTGTTTCCTGCAAACCAAGTCTGCCCTTGTACATAGTTGTCCATCATACTGAATGTTTCGTTCAATTTGTTCAGATCTTCTTCTGCTCCTTTAACTCCGTCCTTTATAGTGGGGAGCTGAAAAGAAATTGAAATATTCGGAAAAATTATGTATGATAGATTGTAAAGGTTGTTTCAAAAGTTTGGACCGTTTTATTGTAATGTGCTTTCGTAGCTCCTGCTAATAAATATTTATTATACTGTGTCGCGATATACAGGGTGTTCCAAATTGAGTCGGCACCATATTGCCAACTCCATTACTATTGATGCTACGAATTTGGTTGAATGGGCAAACTAGTAGCATTTTTAATGGCCCTCTCGATGCCGAGAACAAACAAAAATTACTGTCGCGTTTTCAAAATGTTTCATAAAATTATATTTTTTTTAATGGAACACCCTAAATTTCATCATACATTTCGATTCGTAATAACATTCTCAACAACAAAGCTCATATCACCTTTCTACTTTAAGTTAAAAATGAGTGACTTAAGCCCCCTTTTATTGGCCCAGTTTCTTATTATATACGTTTTTATATTCTACGTAGATAGTGAAAGATTTTTTTCATAAAAAACTCACATGATATGCCACAAATCTAGGAAATAGATATCCTGATACAAAAAACAATCTCTGGATAACAATTGCTGATTTTTTGGGATCCCTTGGGAACAAGCTGTCATCTTTGGCATATTGATCCACCAAATATTTCATAATAGCATTGCTGCAAGAATAAGGTCAGCTCAATTATTCATTAGATCTAAGTTTTGCCTAACAATCGCACGAGGGAGTAAAGCTGAAACTCAGCTGAATGATTGAAATCTGTTTTGCAAAGTTATCTATTGCATAAATAGGTAGAATTGAAGCACTTGACGTGAAATAAATCTATCAAAAATACTTTCCCCACACCGGGAACAAAATACTGTGTTCCTGTGTTCTTTGATGTTGTTAACTTAACAACCAAAACGCACGTGGAATGACAGTCTTTTGTTCTGGTGTGGGACAAATGTTTTAAATAGATTATATTGCATAGAATTTCCAGCCTGCATGTTGATAATTTGTCTAGATTATATTTTCTTAGGACGATGTGATCGAGAGGACAATGATAAAGTTTCAATATGTAGAAAAGAATAATCCAATCATCTTTTCATGATCTACTGCGCCGAAAGGAAGCAAAAAGAGAAGAAGAAGAATCATCTTTTCAAGTCAACACGTTTTGATGGTACAGCCACTTTATGATGATGAAAAACGAGGTTTTTTGTTGCCATTTCTTTTGTTACTATTGAAAACATTCCTCCAAAACACACACTTTTCATTTGTAAAATGATTAATGATTTTTTAATCAATTTCTCGTCCAAAAATAAGGTGAATATTCATTTTTCTCAAACAATATTCGTGATTCGTGTATTCATCTATTTCTATTCTATACCCTTTAAAGTAGTTGGAGTTATTAAAATTTGGATGTATATTATAGAATTGTAGCTACAGGACCAATCCAAAACCAAGACCTCGATTTTGTTACCATCCACGTGAATTTTTTCATTTCCTCCCACTATGGAAGCAATTTTAAAGATGTGTATTCACGTCAAAAGATGGTGGCGCCCTCTCAGCGATAAGTGATGCATAGAGTACCAAAAATCTTCCCTTCTTCCACAACCACAAGTCGGATCTCTTGTTTACTATTGATTGATTCGCTCTGCAACTGCTGATACACGAGTTGATGTGCTATTAATTATTAAATGCAATTTGTATGTTTTCAAATATTCATCGCTGAGTGCTGAGAATTTCGAATGAACACGTGGATTTTTTTATTTCCCCCCACTATGGAAGCAATTTTAAAGACGTGTATTCACGTCAAAAGATGGTGGCGCCCTCTCAGCGATAAGTGATGCATAGAGTACTAAAAATGTTCCCTTCTTCCACAACCACAAGTCGGATCTCTTGTTTATTATTGATTGATTCGCTCTGCAACTGCTGATACACGAGTTGATGTGCAATTAATTATTCACTGCAATTTGTATGTTTTCAAATATTCATCGCTGAGTGCTGAGAATTTCGAATGATAAATTATCGATACTTACCTGTCAGGTAGTATGAATCCACCATCATTTATAACAGGTATTGTATGTAACGGGTTTATCTGAAAAAGCATTTGTTAATTTACTGAAATGAGAAAATTCTACATTCATATGAATTTTGTCAATGATTTGAAATTTCAGTGTTCACTAATTACTTGATGTTTCCAAAGGAAACAACGCTCATTCAAGCGTTGTTTTCCAAATTTGACTGAGTTTCAAAAAAAGATGAAGACGGAAATGACATCTGTTTTTTCCATAATGTCATAAGAAATATTTCCTTTCTTGTTTTTGTTTTTATAAAGTATATATAAAGTTCTTTGTAGATCTATATTTTGTAATTTTAATGAAACAATAATTTTTTTCTGTTGCCCCCGAGTGTAATGATTTCTGATAACATGATCAAATCCTACAAATGAATGTTTCAAAATAATGTCATTCTTTTCTCCAGGAAACTGATTCCAACAGTTTCATATCTTTGGTTTATCAAATTGGTGGTTTACATGGAAAAGCATGGCGTTGAATGTTCTTCTTCTTCTTTTTGATTCAATGGTCTTAGCATCTAAGGCTATTTGGCCAGTTGTGCACTGAATGTTGTTCAAACATCACCGACAGTCAATAATGTATCAGCTCAACAATCATCATATACAGTAGGTTTGAATTTATTGCGTTACTTCGCACCAATAAAACATTTTTCTAGTATCTTGTTATGTATCCTAATTTCGCTTGTAACTTCCATGTACCATACATATAAAAGTAACATACTGGAGCATGTATCATATATAATTGTAATTGTTGAGATGAATAACTTGATTGCTATGATTTTCTCGTATTCTGGTACATGCGTATGATTGGTAGATGTCGACTGTTTTGTAGTTCACATGTGGTATGAATGAAGTGTTAGCAGTATAGAATAAAGAAGAAGAGGAAGAATAGGTTAGGTATAAATAACAGTATAGGATGGAACACTTCCCTTTTTTCCGTTGTTATTGTTTATCAGATGTAAGATACCAAATCTCGTAAGCATCTGAATATAGCGCGAATAGCAAGAAACTAGTCTCACTTTATCAAAAATAAACTATCACGATAAATAACAGCAATGTCATTGTTCCGTTCAAGTTAAATTACAATGTTTATAAAAAAAGTGAATATGATAGCCTATATAGAAATGAATTTTAAATCGAAAGGGGTTTATTTTTAAGAGAGATCACTTTTTGGGAACTAACGATTTTGGCTTTCCACTTTCAAAGGAAGAAAGAAAGCAAATAATTTTTAAATAAGCTCTTTCTCACTTCACATTTGATGAAAGTGTTCACATATAGGCAATACATTCATTTTGTTACTTATTAATAAGTGACAATGTCAACGGACACATTCGACGAAAACAATTACTGACCTTTATGAATTCCGGATTCATCTGTTCGCCGGCAAGAACATTGACGATTTTTATATTGTGTTTCAATCCAAGAGCCCGCATCAACAATAGCGCTGCTCGTGACGGGGGACTCATCGTGAAAAAGTAGATATCTATTGTGTGGTTAGCCATTTTTGCATTAAATATACTGAAAAATATAAATTCTTTCAAGTGTGATATAATATCTAGAGATATAGAAGGAAAACAAGGTCAACAATTTTGAAGACAAAATCAAACTAATTCAATTATGAAATGTATCCTTGCTGTACAATTTTGTGTATTTGGAGTCCAACAGAACCTATGCATCATTACTCAAGAGACTTGATAATTCGCAGAGTCATGGAAACTGTCTCAACAATCTTCATAAGATTTTGCAAAAGTAAAGAATCCTTTGAAAAATCGTTTCAGTTTGAAGGCCCATCGAAAGGAAAATGGCATCTGTCATTCACAGAAAGCAAAAGGATAACGGTCTATGACACAATCTTCTTCTTTTTGAGTGCTAATTGAATATGCCATATAGTGTAGAATAAAAAGCAATATATCACAAAAATTCCGATCATTGACTGTTTGTCTTTTGTGTCAATGACGATTGCATATGTGACGAGATGGAGATTGAAAAATTGGCCTTGGCATTTGTATACCTCAAGCCAGTTTTAAAAGATCCTGGACTAAACACTTGAACTTTTAAAAAACATTCTGACTGTATGTCATCGAAAACATTTCCAAGCGGTGAATGTTTCGCTTGGAAATGTTGGAAACCCATTTGTTTACAAGGTTGCAACTAACGACAATTATAAGTATCTGCATGATACATGTATCTATGATTTAACATAGAAAATAGCTTTGGCAGTGAATGTATGTCATGAAAGATGTTGGAGAAATAACCAGCTGATCATTTCATTCTAGTTCGAAGTTTTGAAAACAGACATTTTTAAGGAAATTGAAAATTTAATTTCGAATTTTAAATACACTCACCTGTTGTTGAGAGGGACAATACCCTCCGATTCCATGCAATTCCCCAGAGTGAAATTTACTGATACACCATAAGCTCTAGGGAATACTGGCCAACAGAAAGCTTTTTGTTATATAGGTAATCAATTCTGCAATAAAAGCAATCAGTAGCTAGGGAAACACGAATCAAAACAAAAATTATAGTCACTTATTGAAATACCTGCGTTCCCCACAGTTTTGCGATATAATTACTCAATAAATAATGCACCATTCAATAAATTGGTTTAGCAAAGCCGAATTTTAGATAGAACGTTCCAAATATTGAAGTATCTGATTGAACTATTCTATGAGCTCTCTCTCAATTTATGTACTATTTCCAAATGTCCATACATAAATAACTGTCTCTGAATGTCGCAGAGAATGAGGATCTTGTCCCATGAACAAATATTGAGCCATGGAAAAGGGATCAAATTTAATTTTTTGGAATGATGAGGAAAAAGAGGTGCCTGTGATAAAGTGGCTCCACAACAATTTTGAGTTTGTATCATAGATATTTGAATGTGAAAAGAGCGATGTTGTCAGATATCAAAGCGAGATACTAATGGTGAATGAGGCTACTATATTACAGATTATTTCCCAATTTTATGAAAAAAAGGGACCTTGAAGATGAATTTCAGTTGGTTTTTACCTTTCTTCTGTTCCGAAAGACCCCTGGTTATATATTCATGTGAACAGCATACAGCAATGCATTTTTCGATTTTTAGAGTTCAGTACAGAATTTCAGGAGGAGCCTTTTGGTCATAAGGTATTTGTGTTCTGTGGCATGGAATTCCAAAAACCTACTGATCGAACAAAACCAGTCCTTGTTAATTTAGAACGAAAAATTCTAAATTCGTATCAAAGATGTGTATATATTATGTAGATTACTTTTTTCCGACAGGTGTCAGTGCATGATTTTCCACTGAAGTTATTCCTGCATATGCTACTGCGATAAAACTGCCACAATAAATTTTCAATTATTGGAACACACTTGCAGACCGGTTTCGGCCTGTTTGGCCACTCGTCAGTGCAAGGTAGTGTATATTATCAACATAAAGTCGATGATTTCCGATAATTGAAAATCAAATTCCTTGAGAGTATCATTCCTCGAAGTAGGCTGAAGCGAACAACAATCAAGAGGTTTGTCATCGCCCCGTCTGCCTGTGAATGACTATATATGAAAAGTTTTTTTTCCTTGTACGAGGGATTGGGCAAATTTCAGATATACGGTTAGTTACCTCCTTCACAGGAAGTAACAAAGCTATTTAAAGCTGTTAAATAAATGCAATAGATGTCTCTACTATACCACAGCAATAATTTTAGGTTACACTGACGAACTTGATTCATATCATACCCTGTGCCTATGCTAGCACCATTCTGGAGGGTTTTTGAGCTGTTATTTAAAAGTGGAAGTTGGACACTTTTTCAAGCTGTCTCCCTTATGAGACGGTTCTCTTTATCTCTACCTCCATAATCGGTAGAACCTCCGCCAATCAGGATCAGACAGAAACGGCCTTCATCGACTTCATCGAATCCTGAGCACGCAATTTTTATTAATCGACTTGTGCTACATTGCAAAAGTTCCCAGATTCAAATGCCACTCACTTCAAAGTATTTATTAGGATATAACAGTTTAAAGTAGACTCAAAAAAAGGACAAAACTTTCAAAACACCCTAATATAACATAAAAAAAGGTATTACAACTGATTTTTGGAATTTGTATTTCTATCAAGTGAAGATATCGTAGATGGAGCGCTACAAGATGAATTTTGTTAAGAAGGTGGGACTTTATTTCATCACAAATAACAATAAAGACTTAACAAATTCATTTTATTAACATTTACATTAGTCACAATATTTACAAGTCACCAAAAAAGTTTTGTGGGCACACTAAACAAAAATCAACGTGATTATCTTATTCGATAATTTCAATTCTTTTTCCTCGTATTCTTCTTTTGACTAGCGTTCTGAAAAATAAAAAAAGATATTGTACGTTCACTCCGGATGAAAATATTTCAACTTACACTTTCATCAACTTTTTCCTCTGTAATTTCTGGTAAATCAGACTTTGCCGACACCAATCTTCTGGCTCTCAAGTTCTTTCTAGGAGATTCAGTTGCATCTACAACAAAATTATGGCATATTATTATCATTATCGTTAAAATAAATGTGCGTTCAATTACCTGAATGTGCAGAAGACACCGAATCTGCTCTACTCCTGGTCCTTTTCATACTTGTGCTGCCCTCAGAATCTTCCGTTTGTTTTTTCCTCAATCTTTTCGGGGGTGTTGCAGGATCAGATTTTGCTGATGCTATCGAACTTGTTTCAGAATGTTTCCTAGATCGTGTTTTAACTCCTGAATCGAAAATATATTGCTTCTAACAATTGTCAACGTGTTCAATAACAATTATCAACATGCTCAAAACGTTATTTCACTGGCAATGCGTTTCAACTACTTATGAACAAGTCAATAAACAAACCTTCGTTTTGCATATACATTTCATGAAACATTATTACTGAAACGACCACACCCTGTATATCTTTTTTAGCTGAGTGGAAAACTATATATAAAGAAGAGGGAGTGTGAACAAAATTGTTGGAGGTTGTGTTTCAACGGTGGAAAACGTCTGTGGACCTGAATATATCAATATGACAATAAAACAAAAATATTAGGAAGCTATTGAAAGCATTTTGTTGTGAGACGAAGTAACAAAAGTTGTGTCTGGGAAATAACAGGTCTTTGTGAGACGTTGTAACTGAAACAAGTCTTTGTGAGATGAAGCAACTGGAAGTTTTCTTTGTCTTTGTGAAACAAAGTAACTGAAATTTGCCACTCTCTTTGTAGAAGACAGTACCTGAAAGTTGTCTTTGTAAGAAGCGGCTGAAAGTTATTTACGTGAGATGAAGTACCTGATAAATGTCTTTGTGAGATAATATAACTGAAAGCCGTTTTTGTGAGATAATATAACTGAACGTCGTTTTTGGGAGATAATATAACGTACATTCGTTTTAGTGAGATAATATAACTGAAATTAGTTTTTGTGAGATAATATAACTGAAATTAGTTTTTGTGAGATAATATAACTGAAATTAATTTTAGTGAAATGATATAACTGAAAGTCGTTTTTGTGAGATGAAGTTACTGAAATTTGTCTTTGGGAAATGAAGTAACGGAGACTGAGAAATAGGAAGTTGTTTTCGTGAGATGAAGTAACTGAAAGTTGTCTTTGTAAAACAGAGTAGCTAAAGGTTATTTTCATGAGATTAAATAACTGATAGTCATCTATGTGAGATAAAATAACTGAAAACTTTTCGTGAGATAAAGTAGAAGAAAGTTATTTTCGTGACATGAAGTACCCGATACTTGTCTTTGTGAGATAATATAACTGAAAGTCGGTTTCGTGAGATAATATAACTGAAAGTCGTTTTTGTGAGATGATATAACTAAACGTCGTTTTTGTGGGATGATATAACTGAACGTCGTTTTTGTGAGATAATACAACTGAAATTCATTTTAGTGAGATTATATAACTGAAAGTCGTTTTTGTGAGATGAAGTTACTGAAATTTGTCTTTGGAAAATGAAGTAATGGAGACTGAGAAATAGGAAGTTGTTTTCGTGAGATGAAGAAACTGAAAGTTGTCTTTGTAAAACAGAGTAGCTAAAGGTTATTTTCATGAGATGAAATAACTGATAGTCGTCTTTGTGAGATAAAATAACTGAAAACTATTTTTGTGAGATAAAGTAGATGTTAGTTGTCTTTGTGAGATATAATATAACTGAATGTCGTTTTTGTGAGATGAAGTTACTCAAATTTGGGAAGTTATTGAACATTTTTGAAATAAAATAACTGGTAGTTCTTATTTAGAGATAAAGTAACAGAAAGTTGTTTTTGTTAGACCAGGTAACTAAAAGGTGTCTTTGCTTTCGTGAAAGAAAGTAACTAAAAAACCCCTTTGTGAGATAAAGTAACCACTTTAGTGAGATAAAGTAACCACTTTAGTGAGATAAATTAACTGAAAGATGTTTTGCTTTTTCAAAAACCGTTTTTCTCCTCACCTGTTGGAGTTTTGGGACTCCCTGCTTGACTCCTTGTCTTCCGGGGTCGTTTTTCCGGCGTAGGAGGTTCACTTACTGAAGGAGGAAGTGAAATATCAGAAACCACAGATGCCGACCGACTCTTCCTCCTCGCTGGTTTGTTAATCGAACCAGCTGTGCTGTTCGAAGGAGAAGGTGAAACTTGGTAAACCTTCTTTTCTTCTGGATCCGGTTCACCTAATGCGAAATATTCTCCTTTCAATATTTGTTGCATCATGAAGTATATAATACTGTTATAAGGGCTCTGTAGCAATGAGTGTTTGTGACATACTTCCTATATTCCATAACTTCATTACTTTCTTTACTGGTATTTCATTTTTTGAGAAGAAAATAATGAATATTCAAATTTTTTAAATGATTTTCATTAATTTAAATCGAAATTTTGAAACAAAAATATTAAATACATCAGAATTAACACTGAGTTGGGTCTAATGTCTGAACTGTTTAAATTATTCCAAATGATATGTTGGCCAAACCAGTTGTTACCTCAAAACTCGGACATCAGAACACAAGAGAGTCTCTTAAAACTTCCCAACCCTTGTTCAGTATCGAAGAGATCCTGGTCACATCTTTGATAATGAATATGAACCTATAATAATTCTATCAATATTCTTACCTTGAAACGGTTCCTTGTCCAACAACTTGATAGGATCCAAACCTTCCAACTCCAACGGCTTCATCGATTCTCCCTCATCCTCAGCCGTGAGTTCCGCAGGCGTCGGACCGCCCTTCACAATACTAGCCTGTCTCCTCGTTAGTCTTCTCGAGCTGGCGTAAACTTCCTTGCTACCTCTCTGCGACTTCGCCTCTTCAGAAATAACCGGCATCTGTGACACCGATCTAGCTTTGCCTCTGAGTTTTGGTTTGATCTCTGCCGCAGTTTCTCCCTCTACGGAGTTGCTTCTTTTCAAGGTACGCTTTCTCGAGTATGTCTTCACTTCGTCAACGCTAGCACTACGGGTCTTCCTCAGAAGGGTCGCCACTTTGGGAGCTTCCAGGGTTTCTTTGGAGGTGTTCATTTCACAATCGATCGTGCTGCTGCTGCACTGAGATAGCCTCCTCGGTTTACTAGTTCTGGTAGAGCCACGGGATGGAGAAGCAACTCTGGATTTAGGTTTCTCTGCCATTCAAATGGAAAACATACCGAAAATTATGAGAAATTATCAAAATCTTGAACAAATATAAAACACAAGCACTACAGGAAAACTTTTAAGGTGCTCTAAGAGTTGTGCCTGTGTGAAAGTAGTGATTCAATGGCTGAAGATTTAATCCATTTGGAAAAACATTCTCAGGAAGAGTCTCAGTGTGATACTTTGTCTTTACATGTACTTGACTGTAGAAATAGTGGCACCAGACCAAAATTCTGCTCTGAGAGCTGTGTCTGCGTGAAAGTAGTGATTCAATCGCTGATCCATTTCGAAAAACATTCTCAGGAAGAGTCTCAGTGTGATACTTTTGTCTTTACATGTGCTTGATTGAAGAAATAATGGGACCAGACCAAAATTCGAAGAAAACTTTATAAAATACTGATAAGAAAACTTGGAGGAAAGCACCTAATTGAAAAAACTTGAAAACCCGTTAAGAATAAGAGACAAAGTAATCTCATAATGTCTTCTAATTGGATGATATTGTTATCCAACATGTCCATCATTTGCTCACAAAATAAGTTCTTCTATCAAAATCGTCTTCCATGACGTATCATTTTATAGGGATGCATTTTATTTTCTTTTAATATGTTTACTATCGATGTATGGCTAACAATGAATGTAGTGGATGCCTGTCTACTGAATGTATGTGGGTTTTTCTCAAACCCAAGCATCACATCTAATTTGAGTTCATCACTTGCATTGGCAGCTGCTTTTTTTATCTGCCCCACATGACCAAGCTCGCGAAACTGCTTCTCTATTTTGCTTATTGTTCCTTGAGATATGGGCGGTAAATTAGGAAATTTCTCATGAAATAGGCGAGCTACTTCCTGTTGTGTTGAATCTCCGTAACCAATCATTTGTAAAACTGTTATTTTATGCATTTCCGTTAATCTAACCATTTGTCAGACTTGAAGTTGACGAACTTTAAACTTAAATTAAAATACTGACAACTAATGTTGTAACACACAAAACAAGTTGGCAAGGCGTTTTAAACTAACGTTGCCACGGAAATTATTTACAGTTCTGTTAAAGGATACCATCTAAAAAGAACATAGAGAAAGAGAATGGAGAGACCTTTCAAACGATATATCACAAACCTATACTTCCCATTTAAAAAATTGGGGGTTGTATCCGTCATTCGACGGGGGTTGAAGGTCGAACATATGTACAGATTCAGCTGTTCAGCATGTTTAGTTTGTGGGTGAGACCCATACATTTTTTTGAGAAAAATAAAAAATCCCCGTATTTTTTCAACAGATGGCGTATGTTTCTTGGGAAAATAGATCGTTATAGTTATCAAACAAGAAACGTTAGTCAAGGAGTTACTATTTCCAGAAAAATTATAACAGTGTCAACTCACCTGGCGTAAAGACATCCTCCGTTTGCTTGTCATCCATTCCTTCCTGTAGCCCGTCCTTTGGAGCCTCCAAAGGACCCTGCGACATCAAACTGATACTTCTCCTAGTGACCCGCTTAATGAGAGGCTGCTCGATCTTCTTTTTACTCGTAGCATGGACCTGAGCAGTCACGACCAAGTCTTGCCTGACTGTTTCACCCTCCGTAGTATCCGAAGACGAATCTTCAGCATTCGTTCTGGCGGGAACCCTCGGAGGATAGACTCTTTGATTGGTTGACCAATCCACCTTTCCGACGAAACTTTCTTGCGCTAGGCTTTTCCTCGCAGTCTGCGACGATTGTTCGACTTTATTAGTGTCTAAACCTCCATCGACTTTAGTAGATTTATCCGTGTCTTCAGTTTCTAACTCGCCGTCTGTGGTATCCAACGATGAGAACGACGTGTTTGTGAACTGGTCCTTTTTTTTGCTCATTTTCGTATCCTCAATGGTAGCCGTTAACTCCGGAGGAACGAGCTTTTTCTGACAGTCAGTTGCAGATACTTTGACAGAAACTTCCTTGACAGTGGCTTTTGAATTCGTACTTTCTTGAGTGACTGTTTCCATTGTATCTTTGGTTTCATCATCTCTTTCCTTTGAAATTACCGTTTCTCTGCCCGTGGGTCCTTGTAAATCCTCCAAATCTTCCAATGCTACACCTTCATCAATTCCTTTAGGTTCAGAAGAGCTCTTAACTTCGTGGACCTCTTCCGATGTGCTGAAATCCTCTGCAGACGTCCCACGGGCGCTGCTTTTGTTGATTTCATCTGAAGAAACTTTCTCTGGACCATGATGTGCTTCGCCGACGTCCAAACTTGCTGCAGCTTCTTCCCCTTCAACTTCTTTATCTAATTCCTCAGTCTCCATAACCGGAGCATCAACATTTTCCACGATATCATCCATTTCGTTGTCTTCAAGACATTTCTTTTTAACCGAGCGGTATTCGCCTTCTTCACTGTCTGAAGACTGACTAGAAGCTTCAGAACGATTGTGAGCCTGAATATTTTGTTCAAAAGAAACCTGCAAGTTGATAGAGCTCGAATTACTCGCTTCCTCGTCCTCACTGGAGTTGATAACAATGACCTCTTCCTTGCCAGATACTTTCTTTTCGGGTGTATATTCTATAAAAGCTTTTTCTGTTTCAGGAATGGAACCTTCAGAAGAGCTGGCTGAGCTCTGCTCCATCTTCCTTGAAGGAGTTGTAGCTGCAGATTCCGTGATCCCAAACACGTTCACCTCCAGCTCATCAAATCCTGAATGATCTTCGGTACAAGATTGTTTATCATCGGCACCGCTGGAGAGGTCTTCGTAGATTTCCATCGATATAACCTCCTCGCTCTTATCTTTGTTTTGAGATGAGTCTGCCGAATCTCTTTCACTTGCTTCACGCTCCAACTGATCAGCTGATTTGTTTTGAGAGACATTAGGCATGTTTTCTTCTGAAACAGTTTTATTATCCTCGATAGGTGGCGCTTCAACGCTAGATCCTCCGACTTCTTCGTTGGACATTTCAACTTCTACCTGGCCGGTTTCAGTATTTTCAACATTCGAGGTTTGGCTCAGAGTATCCGGTTTGAGTAAGTCTTGGGAAGAATTCTTCTTCTGCATGGCGGCAAGTTTCGCGTAAACAGACTTCATGTATTCGTGGACTGAATCGGAAATCTCGAGCTCGGGAACCTTATTTTGCGTTGATAATTCGAAACTTGCATCACTTTCCATAGAACTGTCGAAGTCTGTTGAGATTTCCAGGTCTTGTTTCCTTGTGACTGAACCGCTTACGTTATGGATTTTCTGAGTGGCTGGAGAGTTCAGACTGCTTCGAGAGACATCAGAAATTTTCAAACTCGTCTCCACGGTAGTAGTTCTAGACACTCTAGGGGATTTTTCTACGGAAACGGTCTTTTCCGTTTTCGAAAACGTTGTCTCTTTGCTTACCGTTGTGTCACTCTTCATGGGGGTGCACAATCTCAAAAACGTGTTCTGTTCCAGAACCTGCCGACTCAGCGACCTTCTACCCTTAACTTTGAGCAACAACCTTGGCGACTGCACCGGTGGTGTCGAGTCTTCAGAAATACGCTCCGAGTTAGATGCAGACACATCAATTTTTTTACCTTCTGTTGCTGAGTCATCTTGCGAAATTTTTGGCAGCTGTTGAGCGACTTGAGAGGAGGTATTTTTAGCAAGTCTCGGGCTGGAACGTACCGGGGACATTTCTTTGAACGATCCTGAAACAAGAGGGCATCTCTCTGACCTACTTCGTGTACACGAAATGTTGTTCCTCCTCAAGGAACTAGTAATCGAAATCGAGTATCAAGCTGTCATTAAATTTGTTTTTGAAAGACAATACACCTACGCAAATCAAAGATGAGTTGGATTCTGTGTATGGGGACTCTGCACCATCAATTACCACAGTGGAATTTTGGGCAGCTGAATTTAAACGTGACGCTAAGAGTTTGGGAGACGATGAACGTTTGGAACGTCCAAGAACTGCATCTACCGACGGAAACATCACCAAAGTTCACCAAATGGTGCTAGACGACCGACGAACTAAAATGAGAGAGATAGCAGAGGTTATGAACATGTCAAAAGAACGTGTTTGTCACATTTGGGCCGCGTTTGCTCACGTTAGACCAATGAGTGTTTTTTTTGCTGATATATTTATGGCAACACTGTTTTTGACAGATCACGCGTGAATCGTGTCTTGTGTCAATATCAACCTTGTTCAGTTTGGCCTATAATTTAACCATGAATGGACTTACGAATGAACAACGCTTGCAAGTTATTGAATTTTATTATTAAAATTCATGCTGGGTGAAGAATCGTGCACTTCTTCCAATTTAAGGGCAGTTTCGTCGGCCTACTGAGGGAGCTATTCGGAAGCTTGTGACTGAATTTTGAACCCAGTTTACATTACTGGACATTAAACCACCAACACGCATACGTAGAGTGAGGACTTAAGAAAATATTGCGGCTGTATCCGCCAGTGTTCGTGATGGCCGTGAAATGCCGATTCGCCGCCGTTCGCAGCAACTGGGCCTCTGTTACTCCACTACGTGGAAAATTTTCCGAAACGATTTGGGTGTAAAACCTTATAAGATACAGCTGGTGCAAGAGTTGAAGCCACACGACCAACCACAACGTCTAACATTTGGTGAATGGGAGCTGGCAAAGTTGAAGTAAGATCCACATTTTTATCGAAATATTTTGTTCAGCTTCTAGGCTCATTTCTGGTTGAATGGATACGTTAAAAAGCAAAATTGCCACATCTGGAGTGAATACCAACCACAAGCATTGCAAGAGCTACCGATGCATCCCGAAAAAGTCACTGTTTGGTGTAGATTATGGGTCAGTGGCATCATCGGGCCGTACTTTTTCAAAGACGACAAAGGCCGGAACGTTTTCCCACCCTTGTGTTTTATGAAAGTGTTTTTTTCATTCTTTATTAATATCCAGACCGCGGCATTGCTGTGTTTGCCTCCATTTGTGACTGTATCGGCCCCCCACCTTCCCGTATAAGATATTCCGCCAAAAATGATCGGGAGTGCGAGAGAAGACGAGTAGCTGGAATACCACCGAAAATACAGTCCACGTACAAACAAAAATACTTACCATATCTTTCAAAACAGCAGAAACAACATAAAAAAACCAATCTTCAATCAAAAAATCCGCCAAAAATGATCGGGAGTGCAAGAGAAGACGAGTCGCTCGAATGTCACAGGAAATACAGTCCACGTACAAACAAAAATACTTACCATATCTTTCAAAACAACAGAAACAATTAAAAAAAAACCTTCAATCAGAAAAAACAAAAAAACTCACTTTTATAACTCCTCCTCCCCCTTGGAGATTCAACGGCAGATTCGTTTGGACTCGGATCCCTCTCAATTTCCCGGCTTTCTTCGTCTTCCTTCACCGAATCCCCCTCCAACTTTGTACTTTCCAAATTCGTAAACTCTTGTTGCTCCTTCTCGTGGGACAGCTCTTCCAGCGAAGTATTCGGTGAATAAAACACGTCATCGTTAGTGGAACGACTACTTTCTTTCGAGGAAACCATACAACTAATATCTTTGGAAGACAAAGAAGATTTCTGGAGTATCTGGTCTTCGAGAGCGGTGCTTTCGGCTGGTTTCGAGCTCAGATCGCTGAAAGAGTCCTGAAATTGGACGTGCTGAGGCCGAGGGGTTCTGGATACGGATCTTCTCGAGCGCAGACCAATGCCCGATTTCTGAAATCAGATACTTGTGATGTGGTACTGTTTTTCAGGCACTCTGTATAGCATAAAAAACCCTGGATACTTACCCTGTCACTTCTTCCTGCATCTTCTTCTTCTTCAATATTTCTACCCTGAAAATTTAATGAATACTTCAAAGTTAATTGTATATTCAAAACCAATAGTTATTTTCTTTCAAGAACTAGACCAAGAACAAGACCAATGTAAGTCCCCTTTTATATACCATGGGGCATAACTATTATAGATAATAGGAGTACCACAAGGTAGTGTCTTGGGGCCGCTTTCATTTATAATTTATGTAAATGACTTTCATACGATTGGCAAACCTAATGAAGCCATCGGAACAATATTCTCTTCCAGTTTTAGTTTTAATCATCTGTATTTATGAGGTAGGCGTTGTGACAAACAAATAATAAAGCAACTAATCATCATTTTCATCGACTACTATGACTTGAAAGTTATCACGAATTCTAATAATTGTGCTGCACATCAAAAAGCACCAATAATAAAACTCTACAATTATCAAAGTTTCAGTCTTAATGTACTTTCAAAGAGTTATTAATAGTGGATAATTTTACAGGCAACTTAGAGAGATTATCTTTGTCAAGTATCTGAACTTTTTCTTGTAGTAGTTTTGATTCAGTTCTAAATCTTCTGTTTAATCCCGAGGCTAATATTATTTGAACGTCGATAGGTCATTGATATACATTACGAAAAAGAGTGGTCCCAGCACTGACCCTTGTGGAACTCTTGACTCAATTGCCCTAGTTTTGGTTTTATATGATATGATATGCTTTGTGGCAATCATTTTTATCACTTTAAAGGTCATTAGGAGTTCAAATAACTGTACTGCACATCAGTAAGCACCAAGAATCCAGCTGTACAGAAGTTTCAGTATTCAAAAATTCATCTGAGTTTCTTTTATGTAAAAAAGAATCCTGAAGAAGGTGGTAGCAGTTTGAGTTTAGTTTCAATCCATCAGTTTCATCCAGAAACCAATATGATTTGAACCTTGGTATGTCATTCATACATAGTGTGAAAAGTAGGGGTCCCAGCACTGAGCCTTGTGGAACTCCTTGCTCAGTTGTCTCAGTCTTGGTTTCATGTGGTCTTGGTGAAACAATATCCAAGGACCAAGACATTTCCTTTTAATTTTTTGGTACTGTAATCAATATTTTTCAAATCAACTTACCTTCAGGATACCTTGAGGTGTACAGACATTCATAATCGTGCTTGATAGGTTAGACTGGTCCTGTTGCAATGAGGTCTTTCTCCTAACAATAGGCGTGAGCATTATGGCGTGCACTGAGACGTTCATTTTGGGGGGACTTCCAGTGGAAAGCCTCGGAGTCAGTTTGAGTTTTTTTGGGGGAGACGGGCCAAACCCTTCGCCGTTTTCGTCGAATTCAATGACGTTGGGAGTTATTATATTTGGCGTCATTCTAAGAAAAATCAGAACATACGATTGATGACCATAATCACAGCTGCACAGAAGAGATTACTTTGAAAATTATTCGATAGAAAGAATCTCTTACGTTCATCATAATCTCTTTTACTCACCTGGTGCCATTTTTAAAGGCCTTGGGCGTCCTCAAAAACGGCGTTTCTTCAGTCAGCAACTCATTGAATTTGGTTTCATTCAAATTGTCCTGAAACGTATGCTTGGCCTTTGCTAATGCCGCGTGTATCAAGGTCGACTTATATTGAATTTGTTCGTTGGTATTGTGAACGAAGACGGAGAGAGGAGTCGGTCTAGAAACTGTAATTAAACGCAATCCTTAGAAAAAGGATCAATGTGAAATAGACAAATATATGGTGAGTCTCGAACTTTTCCCTACAAATGAAAAACTTTTTCGTTATAGTGAAACTTTGATCAAATACGTTCATATGGGATAAGAATGACAACTTTTCATCAAATATAACACCTAAATCTTTAACTTCATCAACTTGGTTCGAAGGCAAAAAGTGTTTTTGTTTTGTTTATACTCGACAGCACACATACCTACTGCGCCAAAGTGGTAAATGAATAAACGAATGAACAAAACTCACCTTCCTTCCAAAGATTTGTCCTCTCCTTCCTGACGTATTCCACGAGGTTCCTGTTCACATCCGGCAACAAAGACTTGAAGATCCTCACCACCTGATCCGTCGTCGAAACATTACTCTGCCCGATCAACCCTTGCCTACCGTTGTTTCTAACAACGCCTGCGTGATAATCGAACGCTTCGAGATACCTCGACCGCAGCAGATAGTAGAAAACCTGCAGCTCGTCCGAAGAAGCGCTGTTGGCGTTCTTCAAGTACTTGATGAACGCCTGTTCCTCGCCAGAACCCAAGTTCTTGTACAGCAGATCGTGGAGGCAGTCGTTCTTCTTGCATTCCTCGAAGAGGTGCATCAGGAGGTCTTCGTCTGCGCCGTTCCGGTGCTGCTTCATGAAGTAGAACGCCTCGTCGAGCATCTTGTTGGCTACGAACAGGCTGATGGCCGTTAGGAAGTCGGTGTGGTCCGTCATGGGCGGTTTTCTGGTTTGTATGTAGAGCAGGGCGAAGTTGTACTGCTTCTGGACGCAGAGAGACCTCATCGCGATCGTATGTTGCCACGGTTGAAGGTCTTCGCCTAGCACGAAGGGGTCCAGTAACTGCTCCATGGCCGTAGCGAAATCGCCGTGATCCAATTGCCAGAAAGCTTGGGTGATTTTTATGACGCTTGTACTCACCTTTGAAAACGACAAATTCATATAAAGTGCTTGCATTGAAGTATCTGTCAAATTTGACATCTTGCCTAGAAAATTCCCCAGAGAATTTTGAATCAAGTCATTGGCACATCTGTAGGTGTAATAAGGATTCGCCAATTGAAATGCTGGCATCGAAAACGTTTTTCAGTGATTTTTTAATGACTAATCGCGTGCCGTTGCACAGCCGTGGTGGATTCAAATTACGGAGCGATCCAACCTTCAGTTGTAAATTATGCGGATGATTCACAGCTTCGGTGGTATCGTAAACTCCATCTACGCTCGATGGACAAACAATAATAGTGACCGAAAACTATAGGAATGAGGGAAGGTTAACTGTATGAGAGAGACAGGAGACCGGCTTCGTTCTCATCCCAACTCCATGCTTTTTACTGAGTGAGAAGTGACACCGGTAGACACCTGCCGGGAATGACTAATCTAGGATTACATTACTTCTACGACAACTCTCGTACATTCATAAATGAATATACACTTACCTTGAAAACAGCGGGAAATTTGATGAGATACGTAATAACGGGGGAGTAGCGACTCTTCTCCAAAGCCATCGCCAAATCCAGAAACAAGTAAATCACAAGTGAATGCTTGTGCTTGATTTCGGCCACGTCGATCAGGTACGTCCGTATCAGAGACTGCAAAGAGGGCGGAGGGTACAGCCCGCTCCCGTTGTCTTCACGCCACTGCGCTTGCAAGTGACCCCCACCGCAATTCCTGTTGATGAGGTTGTCGATGAACAGAAGACTGTCTTTGCTGGCGAAGGTCTCCTCGTTGAGGAGCTGCAGCTCAGTCCGCTTATCGTTGTAGAATTTGGTGAGCTCTTGGACCGGATACGGGGCGCCGATTTTGTCAGAGTTTCGGGGGTACATCGAAGGAGCGTATTCCGGCAACAGACCTACGTTGACCAGCCACTGCAGGACCTCGAAATACACGCTGACCATCTGCAAGCTCCGCCTCTGTTCCTCGACCAGGTCAGGGCAAGAAAGGAACGAGCTCAGCTTGTTGATGATATAAGAGTACAAGACGCACAGGTTGTTAATCTGTCTGATGCAGCTGTTGAGGAGAACAGTCGTGTTGTTGTCCAGCTGCGACTGGGAGTGATCGAACAAGGGGGCGCAGTACCTGTCACAGTGACTTTTCATACTGACTGCTCGCTGAAACGCCCAGTTGAGGAGAAAGTCCAGGGAGCAACCTGCGGAAGAAAAACTACCATTCGCCCATTCGGAAGCACACTTGCATAACCAGCCTACGAGCTGGTGCTCCAGCCCCACGTTCAGGATGATTTCCCTCTGAGTCCCGGTGGAAAAGGACGAATTCAAAGACTCCTCGCTGAATAACGGTGTCAGCCCAAGTGACAGCACCTGCCTCGAAACCTCACTGGGCTTGAGAAGACACAGAGGCCCGGTTGACTCGATCTGATGAAGCAAAGCTTGCTGGAGGCCTCTATTGTGAAACAGCACAACATCGTTTTCTCGGAGCACCAACAAATCGAACGACAGCGAAGTCGGGTAAAAGTGTTCCTCCAGCCTCTGCACGCCTACGAATTGCGCCAACGATTTTGGATCCAAAGCAACGTCCAATAGGGGCCCCGCTTTACCATTACCCGTTATGTGGATCATGTCGGTGAGCGAGAGTCGTAACAAGTAGTTGCTACAGTTCTTCCATCTGGAGAAGTTGGGCATCTGCTCTTTGTACCACTGGTTCAAGTCAAAGATGAGGATGTTGGTTTGATTGATGCTTTCTCCGAACCATACTGTCCACGATATGAGGCATAGCGCTAAATTGTCTCCGGACGAGACGCGCGAATTGTGTTCCTTACCTGGGGGGATTTTGGAGATCGGTTGGAGACCCAAGCATTGGCCCCATTTTGGATCAGGCCCATGTCTGGAATACAATAGCAAGTGAGAAATTGTTTCCTATGTTTATATTTATATGAAAATGTGATGAACCAGTCATCTATTTTCTATCTTTATCTCTGGAAATTGCGATCAAAGGATCTCAACCTCATTATGTGTTTTGTGAATGGTTCAAATTTTTTCTCATTGAAAAATGCTACTATAGCTAACAGAAATACTTGAATAATAGTTGATGCTAGTCTATAGTTTTCAATTGTCCGTATTGTTCAGTTTGTCATCAACATCATAATCAAAATCATTGTTATCAACTGTACCGACATGACCATCCACACTATCAACATCGTCATCATTATGATCAACATCATTATCATTATCAACACTATGATCATCATCTACATTATCATCATCAACATCATCATAAACATCATCATCAACACCATCATTTACACAAATAAATGAGATTTATTGGTGATTCATTTCACCAATGAAGTATGCAAACAGATAGATGCCTTCGTTCATGAAGATTGTTTCTTCATCATCATCAATATCATTATTTTCAACATAGCCATCAACATCATCAGCATCACCATGATTAACATCCTCATCAACATCAATAATATCATGATTAACATCCTCATCAACATCAATAACATCATTATCAATACTATCATCATCATTATTAATACTTTCATCAACATCATCGTCATTATCATCAACAACATCGTCGTCAACAACATTGGCATCATCAACAACATTGGCATCATCAACAACATTGGCATCATCAACAACATTGGCATCATCAACAACATTGGCATCATCAACAACGTCGTCGTCATCAACAACGTCGTCGTCATCAACAACTTCGTTGTCATCAACAACATCGTCATCATCTACAACGTCGTCGTCGTCATCATTATCAACACTATCGTCGTCGTCGTCATGATTATCAACATCATCATCAACACCATCAGCATCGTCACCAAAAACAACATCGTCATCAACAACAACATCGTCATCATCAGCAACATCGTCGCCATCTACGTCGTCGTCATCATTATCAACATTATCATCGTTCGTCATTATTATAGACATGATCATCATCAACACCATTATCATCAACAACATGATCATCATCGTCATCAACAACATCGTCATCAACAACAACATCGTCATTAACAGCATCGTCGTCAACAACAGCATCGTCGTAAACAACAACATCGTCGTCAAAAACAACATCGTCGTCAACAACAACGTCATCATCAACAACATCGTCATCATCATCATCAACATCGTCATCATCAACAACAACATCGTCATCATCAACAACAACATCGTCATCATCAACAACAACATCGTCATCATCAACAACAACATCGTCATCAACAACAACATCGTCATCAACAACATCGTCATCATCAACAACATCGTCATCATCAACAACATCGTCATCATCAACAACATCGTCATCATCAACAACATCGTCATCAACAACAACATCGTCATCAACAACAACATCGTCATCAACAACAACATCGTCATCAACAACAACATCGTCATCAACAACAACATCGTCATCAACAACAACATCGTCATCAACAACAACATCGTCATCAACAACAACATCGTCATCAACAACAACATCGTCATCAACAACNTCATCAACAACATTCTAATCATCAACATTCTCATATCAACATCCTCAACATTCTCATCAACAACATCGTCATCAACACTATCATTAACATCGTCATTATTACCAGTATCATCATCATCAACATCGTCATCATTATCATCGTCATCATCATTATCAACATCAACACAATCATCAACATCTTCATCATCAACATATTCATCATCATCAACATCGTTATTATTACCAACCTGATCATCATTAACATCGTCATCATTATCATCAATATCTTTATCTACACAATCATCAACATCTTTATCTACACAATCATCAACATCTTTATCTACACAATCATCAACATCAATCATCAACATTACCATCTCACACAAATAAGACTTATTTGTGACGTATTTTACCGATATATCATACAAAGAGGTGAATTTATTTTGAGCCTCAGTTTATAAACATTGTTTCTTTACATTGAGAACACTAGGACAATTTTAATTTATTTTCTATTTTCATTACCAAATTCATTCTGTTAGAAATGAATCAAAAACCCCATGTATGAGTATGAGTTGTTGGGCAAAGTTAACATCTTTTTGCATCATAATATATTTCTATTGAAACACCATTTGTATCATTGATACTCACTTGACCTCTTCCAACGGTCCCAATTCCACCTGGAATCGAACCGAACAGTGCTGGAAATCTTGATACAGGAACCCGTAGCCTTCGTGGAACTCTTTGGATTCATAACAGAGTGAATACATCACAACCAGCGGCAAGCCAGACTGATCTACCTCGGACTTACTGTACGATACCCAAACGTAACAAAATGCTCTCGGATCATCCGCTGGTTCTTGCAGAGCAAACTTTGTGACAGGCAAGTGCCCTTCGCAAACCGGAGAAGTATACACCAACGTAAGGGTGGTGAGATCCCAGAGCTGGAACGCTCCGAAGTTATACCCGACAAGGAGGGAAGTTAGTTGGGGACAATAGTAAAGACCGCTTGTGATAACTTCCTCTTTGTTGACGTAGATTCGGTCATCTCCTTTTGGCCCCTTGAGAATGAAGTGCTCGGTCAGGCTGTCGAGAACAGCGTTCAGGTGTATCGCAAGATGAGTGCCATCCCGCATTGATCTTTCTTTGTAGTACTCGATTTTAGGTATGTTTTTTGACGTCAGTAGTACTAGCTGGCAAGGGTTCAGTTCGTCTTTTCTGGTAGTCGAGAATAGAGCTTCTTCGCAGATTTGTCGGCAAATGTCTATGAGAATTACACAACCACCGTCTGTACCCACAGCTAAAATCCCATCGAAATTCCTCAACGGACCTGGGAGGTTCAGGTCTTCTATGCCTGGATCAATTACATGTAAATAGGATATCTGAAATGAAATGAAAACTCGCTAATACAGTTTACCGAAAGATTTTCACCACACCAAGTTTTTGAAACCATGACAGGTGTTCACACAAACAGGAATGATAAATTAATTTTGAGTTACAGCGGTTTTATACTCATTAATATTAGTTGCTACCTAAGTTTCGATTGTAAACATGATTCCAGGCAGAAAAGTGCTTGGAAACTGTTTCTATGTACCTTTATACATGTTTGAATTTCCGTCCAGTTTGACCTATGAAAGTGCTAAGTATGTAATTTTCTTCTGATTAATTTATTAGCCTATTATCATGATGACCCAATGAATTAGGTGTCATATCAGGTTTTTTCAGATAGCTTTCTATCCTCAAATGGTTGTAACTTAAAAGGTTAATTTATTGTTGCAGCTTTTGAAAGTAACTGAATAACGAAACTGTCACGGTTTGAAAACCAGCTACAGCAAAAATCTAGTGAGATTCAATATGGAATTACATCAAGTAGCGGCCAGTACATTTTTAAAATGAAATACTTGTTTTATCGGTCCAGTGTAGGCAGAAGTAAATTTACCAGTGAAATAAAAAAAACTGTTCTGGAAATTTGAAACAACTACATAATCTGGAAAAACAATTTCCAACACTTGATTCTGAATATGACATTCATAAGAAAACAACGAAAACAGTACATACACAGTACAAAAGGTTCATTCTGTTTTGAAAAAATTTAAAATTCTGTTGTTAATAGACATCCCACTGACTCATCAATTTATTCCCAAATATCAATACTTTTTCAATTATATTTTGTAGAACTCAAAATTATTTTCGCATCTGAGAACAATGTAAACAGTAAAGAAGTATAAATGAACTACTGGACAGAGATACTAACCTTTTCCTTGATCTGTATAGCCCGTATTACTTTCGAACTGAAAACGTCGAATATGCAGACCAAGCCTCCACTGATAGCGCAATCTATACCAACAGCTAGAAGAGACAGTCTCCCGTGCGGTCTACGAATTTCTTCAACACATACAATACTAGTGTTTGAATCCTTCAAAATATATCCAAATGTCCATGCTCCAACTTTGCAACCAGTTTTCGCATTTCTAACTTCCAAAGAAGGCCCTTTCGCGTGCCATACATGACGAGTGTCTTGCAGAAGTCTGCCCGATAATGGGAGTCCTGGAAAAATAGTGAAAGATGACAAATGAACTACTATTGCGGTACTTGTTTTTCTGTATTGTTTCACAATGGAATTTTTCATCTGTGCCCTCATTTAACCTGCTGACACAATAATAATAATAATGCCCAGAGTCTGCTGGAGCATAATAAAGTCGCATCATATAAAAACAAGGTATATCTTGATATATATCATTGATATATATCAAGAACAATAGCGGACCTAAAACGGAGCCCTGAGGAACGCCATGCTTCGGTTTCTTTGAGGTCTGACTTTACGTTGTTCACCTCAACGTATTCAACATACATTTGTCTAAAGCATAATATGATTGTATGGGTCACGAATATCTACTTGAAAGCAGATTAGAGTCTCATCAGTCTTCAACCTTTTCGATATCCCAGCTATTCAATTTTCAAATTGTTTATATATTACAGAAAAAGTAACGGTCCCAGTGTTGAACCTTGTGATACTCCGACTTTTAAGTCGCCTTCTGATAAGACTGATGGGGTTTTCACAATCATCGTCCACTTTTTTAGTCCATAGAAAATTCAAGACACTTTGAAGGTTAAGCCACAGATTTATTTATCCTACAGCAATAAAGTATACAATTTCTTACCCTCGCTTGAGACGACGTTGTATTCATTGTAAGGAACAGACTCCAAAGTCGGGTGCCGAAACGGTAAAACTTTATTTATTGAAAGTGACATTTCGAATTTTGAGGTTAAAAACTATAATGTTTGGTTTGAACTCCTTTAATAAATTTTTGCGGTTTCTCAAGCACTTAATTATCCATTATATGACAGATCACTACACAAAACATTTTTTAGAAGCTTTATTATAATTAATATTTATTAAATCAACAGAAAACAGTTAAACAATTCAAACAAGAACACCGCTTCCTGTCACAGCTGACAATGACAACTGAAGCAAAATTCAAAGGTACGTTCCAAACGTTAATAGTTAACTTCTGTGACTGGTAGATGGTCACATTTGGAATAGAGTAATCAGTTTTATTTCAGAGACGAACAATGCTGTTGAAAACTTTCGTTTTCTTCAATGTCTTACATTATTTCGGTTATTTTTTAAATAACCATTGACATTTTTAGGATATTATTCAAAAATGGAAAATGGGGATGTCTATATTTAAACATTTCGGAACAGATCCGTGCCACAAAGGCTTCAAAAAAATTAAAATATTCAAACTTTTTTGCAAATCCGATAAATCGTGGGATCACAAAACATGCCGTTTTTTATTCACATTGGGTTCACATAGATGTATGCCTTGTATAATTCAATTCAACTTTCTCAAATATATTGCATCTCGCATCTATTGAAAGTTTATATATATTGAATGTAAAAAAGTTTACGTAAAAATTGTAGAACTCTGAAAAAAGAACCCCATCAGGTTAATATTATTCATAAATAATAACAATAATGAATGGTCTTTATTTAGAGTGGCGAAGTGTAGCAGAATACTATTTTGATAGATTTTTTTCAGTTTTTTATAAACACATTGTGGAAGGTTATATACCAAAAAAAAGGCAATCCATTGATAGGGTTCCATTGAATAAATACATCAGTTTAGCGATTTTTACTCACTGTCATCATGCCTATTGTGAATTCATTAACTGGACTACAAAACATAATATCGAGTAGTCCTATTTTTATTTTTCTCAAAAAAGTGACTTCAATGTTTTATCTCTTCTTTGGCAAATAAAGAAAATGAGTGTAGAAGTCCGATCCCATGTTTGAAAGCATCGACTCATTGCAGAATCCCCTTCGATTATAGTGGCTTTGAACTTGCAGCTAAACATGTCGTTCTTTCATGAGTTCCTCTTCAACTTTAGTACCTCGGAAGTGCTTCACATGTTTGACAGTGGTGCATTTTGTATTCCTGTTGAAATTAGAGCCGTCGACGACGCTATACGCACTATCATTAAGCGGAATCCTGAAGAATTTTGGACAGCCGAAGACTCCGAAATCTATGAAAAAATGCAAATCGAGTGTACAGCCATAGTGAGGTCTCGATGCATACCACCACCCTTCGAAAGTTTGGGAATGACCATCAAGTATGTTATGATTTGTTTCATGTTCATGCATGAAAATTACCGGGTCTGAGAAAGAAAACGCGTCTTTTTTTATAAGTTTCAGCAATAACCTCTTCATTCGAACGGAATTTCCTACCGGTGAGCATTTTTTTGAGATCTGTGAACAGCCAGTAGTCGCTGAGAGCCAAATCTGGCGGATTTGGTGGCCGAGGGCGCAATTCGAAGTTCAATTCATCTAGTTTTGCAATTGTTTTGATTGACTTGTGAAACGGTGCATTGCCTTGATGAAACAGAATTTCTCTTTGCCATGTGCGGTCGATTCATTGCAATTTTGGCCATTAAATGCTTCAATAACTCTATAAAATATTCACTGTTGATGGTATTCACCTTCTCAATATAGTCGATGAATACTACACCACTCACATCCCAAAATGTCGAGGCCATAACCTTTCCGGGCGATTGTTGCCCGGAGTTATCGTCAATAAAGAGTGTGTGTTCGGCGAGTCTTGGCCTACACCTGCCGATATAAAGGAGATGTCTCCCAGCGACCTGTCCACCTTCCTGGAAAGGACAGGATGGACGATGACCTAGGAGGACAGCTTCTCGGGAGGATGTACAATGGGTCACATGTGGCCTAAGAGCTATGGGCTTACACTCACCCTCCCTACTCTACAGATACAGAGATACAGATCTACGAGCATTCGCCTGAGATTTCCCTATGACGTTGAGGTAGTTTCCGAAGCAACAGTGTCCACTGTGTGGTGTAACACCCCACCTCGTCATGCCCCCTACGTCTTTGATCAGGGTCCTGGTCCATTGAACCTAACCTAACCCCAAACTAACCCTAACCTAACCTAACCTTACTTAACCTTTTTTATGAAGGAGAAAATCTTCAGAAAACATTGTGCTGGATTCAAGGTTACCTTCTCCTACCAGCTAAAGCCTCACCTGTTTGGTTCTATGGCTATACGTGTTACTTAAATACATCATAATATATTCTTCCAAATGAAGATATTCTACATGAGATTCAAAACAATTTCTAATTTATAATCTACAGTACTTCAACATGTTTCAGGAACATTCCGACTGATGCATCTAGATTCGAATACCTCATAGTAACTGCTGAAAGGTACATAGAAGATGAAATTTATGGTATCGTGGAGAGATCGTTCACGTTAGCTTTCAAACCAATTAAAAACTGTGAAACCTGGTCAAAGGTAATACAATATATTTACTAGTTATTATTTTTCAAGAAGTTATGTCTACATTGAGGTCTCAATCTACCTACCCCTCAGGTAGGGGCACGCCTTGTGGGTTTCGTGACTTGTCTCCGGGGTCTCAATCTGCCTACTCCTCAGGTCTCGCTATTGATCTCCTCAAAGATCTGCCTACTTCCAAGCGTTCACTAAGAGAGTCATAGTTACGACCGCACCGGGGGGCCGGTTAGGCCCCCCAGACGCACCCTGGCGTTGGATGCGATCGGGCGTGGTGGGGTGGATTTTCGGGAAATCCTTGCGGGTACCGCCCCTCGACCAACAATATTTCGCAGGGCTTCCTCCCGCTTCACCGAACCCGGAGTTGCCTCCTTACATCTACTTAGTGTGGCTAACCAAGAGACGGCAGCGTTCGACCGAACGTTCGTACAAGTTAACTAAGCTCGTCTTTCGCCAGAGAGTGCTCGCGTCGCACATCTGCCCCCGCCAACCATGCCAAATCAGTTGGGAATATTGTCCCGGAAGTGGCCGGTCGGGATCCCCTAAGCTCGGATACTAGTAGCTGCGTCCATCCGGGGTCCGACACCTCGAACGTCTGCCTTGATGCCCTCCAAGACTAGACTCGGATACTAGTGCCCGTTGGAAGGACCGCGAGCCCCGACACCTCGAACGCTTGGATCCGTACAGAAGCAGGCGAGGATCACGGAACAGCATGAGCTGTCCAGTGCCTGAGTAAGGGGGCTGCAATGCACCCATGAATGGATTACCGCAACCCTGTATCCCTTCCCGCTAGTGGAGCCGCTGCCCCTAAGAGGCCAACGCCAGTTGGAGATGAGGCTCGCTAGCCTCCAGCCGCGAGCGGGCACTCACCTCCACCCTAGAACTCATGTTAGGAAAGTTCCCTTTCCAACGTTTGATGAGTAACCGTCGAGGACTCTTTCGAGCATCCTCTACCACAGATCTTATGTCAAAGATGTCGCGCCCATTACCCGTATAGGTGCGGGATAGGGCGGTTCGCCAACAACTTATGGGTGTACGCCGTGTGGTCTGCACCGCATGCCCTTACGTTACCCCAAGGGGCACTCATGTTAGGAAAGCTACCTTTCCAGCGTTGGATGAGTAACCGCCGAGGGCTCTTGCGAGACACCTCTCCCACACATCTAGCTTGAAAACGGCCAACGCCTGTTACCCGCAGGTGCGGGATTGGGTGGTTGACCGATAACTTTACTAGGTGAGTGCCGTGTGGTCTGCACCGGGGGCCTGTCAAACACCCATAAGAGAGAGAGACAGTGGTTCCCCCGCCACTCACCCCTTGTGGAGACCAGCGGCGGGGGAAGAGAAGTAGGCAGTTCGAGTCCTCGGAGAGAAGTAGGCAGATTCACATCTCAGTGTGGTCATACCTTTTCATAATGGCTTCAAAGTCGAAGTCGAAAAGCCAAGCAATTATAAACGCCAGACACGGTTCAACCCCGACTTCAATCATATTGCTGACATATACAGGGTGTTTCCTAATTACGGTACGAAACTTCAAAGGATGATTTTTTAGGTCGTTTCAAGTGAAAAGTTTTTAAAATATCGGAAGTCTGCGCTGCCACAGCTGACTTGTCCGTTTGACCCAGTCTGCAGTTTCATGCTCCTTTGCTGGAATTGCAAAGGCTGCTCCTCAATAGCTTGGAACATTGTTCCGAACCAGAAACTGTACACACCTCAGCCATTTTTTCTTCTTCTTTTCTCTTTTTCTTCTTTGGAGTATTGTTCTCATGTATGGAGCTCCGCCTCTAAGCTGCTGGATTCCATTCCGCAGCTTCCTGAGAACTTTTTTCCAAATGAATTTGATTTACAGCGATTCAAATCCAAGGTGAATCGCTTCTTTCACACAGACACCGCTATTAGAGTGCCTTAAAGATTTTCCTGTAGTGTTTTGTCCATAAAAAATAAACCTGAGAATAATGGATTCAAAACTTGAATTCAAAACTTCTGTTCATTATTCTTCAGTTGTTTCTAGAAAGGTGAATATTTTGTCTAATGAATTCATCAGTTAGAAATACGATAGTAATAGTCATTAGGATTCAAATAACTATCAAAGCGTAACACAGAATTCGTTTGATTAGTATTGTGACGACTGAAAATGCTATCGCTATCCTATAATATCGAAACACGTGTCGCGGTTTTTTTGAACTTTCAATTGGAAGTCTCACATCGAAGTATTTTTTCAATAACACATGGGCTGAAAAAGTCCTGGGCCTAAGAATGAAAACGATAGATGAAATCTATATTGACTGTTTATCACGAGTTCGAAAACGAAATAGCAAGTCTGTTTGAAAGTGTTTTTTGCAGAATGTCATGGAAGAACTCTTAGCCTACGTCCTGAGGAATTTCAAAGATGAAGACAGAGTTGGATTTGTTTTTGAAAACCAGAAACCGCTGCCCCACAAAGCTAAAGCAAAATTTCCAATAATAGAAAAACGAAAATTGAATACCGTGGTCATCTTTGCTTGCTTGATTTGTACTTTCTACCTGGGCAGTTTGTCAAATGAAAGCGAGACGATGATATTGACAGTTTTGAGGTTGCCAAAACCGTTCCAAAAAAATTCTTTCGAAGACGACAATAAATTGTATTTTGACGACCTGGTGAGGTATATTGTTGGCAATGAATATAAATGAAAAACGACGTGTTGGTTTCGGCTATTACAAGTTTTAATGGAAGTATGACATGTGACAACAGAATCTTCTTCTTCTACTTTTTTTACAAACTCTGATATTTCTTTCACGATATTATTTTATTTCAATATCGGGGTTGATCACATAAACCGTAGAGGTTTCCTGTTTCACTTAAAAAAAATGAAACATGTTCCATACATAGTCAGTAACAATAAACATTAATGATATTTTTCTGAAACATCCAAATCTCATGCCATTCTCATCAATCAGCATCAACAGACATGTATAAAAAGAATTATGCAGATCAATACATTTTAATGAGTTTATAGGCATTTCCAGGAATTTCTTTCATTATTTCAATAAGACTTCCTTTCATTCTCATCTAGTCATTTATAGGTGTTTTTGTGAAATAGTTTTAGGTCCACTAAAATATTTTTTCACGTCAACTTCTTTTAAAAATTTTAGTATAGCACCACACCCATTTTTTAGAAAATCTCTCATCAGAGTCACCTCCAAGCTGTCAACTTTCAAAAATTTGATAGTCTGTTGCATGTTTTATGAGACTGACATGCTGTTTTATTTTAATGTGTATTTTTTTATTTTCTATAGGTCTTTATGTACTGCAGATGCGTAATTTTGTATCCACGTGTTTAAAAAAAATGTGTCATACGATTTTTTTGAATTGTTTATTGAATGTCATTTTAGTGAATAAATATACCATTATTACATGAGTATTTAAATGAGTGGTTTGTTCTCTGTATTTGGTAGCAGGAAACCAAGAAATCCAGCACCTGAAATAATTAACATATTTATTAATGTATATAGGTAAGCAATAGAAGATTTAAGAATAAATTAGAGAAGATGAAATCCATCTAATCTATACAAACATAGTGAAAATCTCACAATAAAGTACGCGATTAATATTTTTGCCAAAAAGCAGAAATTCATTGTGTTCCCACTTCAAGACATTTCAAAATGAGGTTTTCATTCAAACATTTTATCCGTCAACTCACCTGCTATGAAACCACCTACAACCAGGAAAAGAGGAGCGCATCCCCAATTGAGAAGGGTCGGAACAAGAAGATTCCCTCCCATGGCACCAGCTCTGGCCCAACACATCACTATGGCCACCGTGAAGGTTCTGAATCAAAGAAAAACGTTGATTGATGTGACACTGATCTTTCAAAACAAAAAAGACATCCAAAAAATTATTCTTGTCTTTTCCCCGCCAGGGTAGTTTCTGAGGAAGGTGATAACATTTTCCGTAGCCATCTATGGGTTTGACAGAAGACTCATTCCACGAATATTGAAGATGAGAGAGGCTCCCAAAGGCGGTCAGTTGCAAAGTCGAGCTTCGACATAAACCACCATCGTTTGTCTTTCACTGAAGTTTTCACTGCAAGGCAACTAGAGGTGGTGCTAGAAATACCTGTCGCAACAAAGAAAACACAAACATTTTTGTAGACACTTCGATTGTCTCACCACTTTATGGCAACGAGGCGTGTATCAGATGTTGAAATCTGAGATTCGCCACGTTTCAAAAGTTTATCAGGTTTGAAATTTGGAAGCAATCTTCTGCTTGGGTTGACCGTGCCACAAGCGTGGATATTTTTGGTCTTGAGGTCTTCTAACAGCTGTACACTAGTAAAAAAATTGTCAAAATAGACAACGTGATGCTTTTCCTCCATACCTTTCAGTAGATTTTCCACCACCCTAGCACCCAAGCTTTTCTCCGTATCTTCGGATTTCCCGGTATAAATTTCAAATTTCTGGCAATAACCATTTTTATTCGCTAACATCCACACTTTGCAGCCCCTTTTGATCGGCTTCTTCTGGAGATACTGTTTCAATGTACTCTTTCCTTTGAATTTGATCATCGATTCATCGATGGCCAACTCCCTAGAAGGAGCCATGCAGTCCATGAAATTTTTAGATATTTCGTTCAGAACGGGCCGTAATTTATAAAGTTTGTCATAGTCTGGCTCTCCTTCGGCATCAATATTGTCAATTTCCTGCATGAATTCTTCATAAGTCATACCCTGAAGTTTGAATGGTAAGGATTCCATTACGAAAAGATGAAAAAAAAATCATTGTTGAGGGGCGGTGGTACAAATAAGGTACCACAACACTACACACAATTTTTCAACGATGAATGGATAAACTCGAATGATTCCGTGAACAGCATAGTCTACAGACATCATAAAAAACAGGAGTAACAATTTACAAAAATATCCCATTGTTCTACTTACTTTTGTAGGAGTTTTATAAGAATAGAACACAATTCACGATACGCTTCAGTGATCATAACCTAAAATGACGCGTATTGTTGAAAATAGCGGTAGAAAGGAGAACCGTGTCATCGGCGTGGAAGGTCACTGGTGTAAAGTGAGTACAGCGTCGGAGAGACCACGGCCCCTTGTGGCACTCCAGCGAGGATCTCTGTTGTCAGACAGAGAGCCCTCTACTCTAACCTGAAATGTTCTGTTTCAGGAAAGACCCAAACCATCGGATCAGGCCCCGAGGCAGGTCGAACGCGATAATTTGTGCAGAAGGCCTTCGTACCATACACGGTCGAAGGCCTTCGAGATGTCTAACAGTACAATGTGTACTTTTTCATTAGTGTTTAACTCGTGGATGGTGTTTTCGACCAGCCTTAGAGCCTGTAACTCAGTGAAGTGTTCTCTCCCGAAGCCAAATTGTTCATCAGGCAGAACATTTCGGTTCTCAACTTCTTCGTTGAGCCTTTGGAAAACGACTCTTTCAGCCAGCAGGTTCTGACCCTGTTTTGGGATCATGACGATAATCGCATGTTTCCATCTTCTGGGGAAGTGTCTGAGGGTTCTCAACGCAGTTGAAAAACTGCCTTGCTCCACAGCATATGCTATATAGGTTGTGTACTTTCTAAGACAGTGATATTTTTGTAACAACTGGCGCCATCTCTTGGTCAGGCCAGATACTTCTGGGACCACCTTGGTAGATAAAATCAGAGCTCAAAATAAAGCAGTCCTGCTTGTCCCAGGATCATAGAGTTCAACTTTGGCTAGACATTCAAAATCTGCTTGACATAACATACATCAAAAATATCCCCTGTACGCCGGGGTTACGACATGAGTCCTCCGATGATCCCATAGATGGTGGGGAAGTGAATATGTCCATGTTGAAGTTAAAGAAGCATTGAGAGAAAAACTATTCGTCAGATATGAATCTGACTAATAGAAATCTGGTGTGGTTTCCTCAGATTTTCATGTTTGGGGTAGTGAAGAACTTTTCGAAACGAATTATCTGATATTAATGGAATTGAAACAAATATCTAGCTCATTTTGAAGCTACTCATGAACAATGTTCAGTGGAATGACATACCATGGATCCAAGTACTGTTGTTTGAAGGACCTCATCTATCTCGTATATAATTGTATTTAACTCACCTTAAAGTCGTGGGAAACAAATCAACTATGATACTCAGCATCACATTTCCGCTCATGTTTCCCAGGCCGACGAAAGCTGAAGATAATGCTATGGTAGGTATCGTTCCTTGTGAGAAGTAAAGGCAGCAACACACAATAGCTGCCAATATGGTGTTCATGACTGTAAAATAGAAATCACTTAGAAGTACCTGTGATTGAAAGGTATGTGTCATTATGTATATAGTGAAAAAATATAAAATAGAATTTTTTCACTTATATCTGGACTTTGGACCTAAGCTAACCTATCTCACATTGTCACCTGTTTGTTTAATGTAGTTTGTTTTCCGCTCCTTTATTCTGCCATTGATTTTTGTAAGTATTGTTTTTTATAACCAACAAAAAACAGTTCATCAATAAATGCCTAAGACTTTGTACGACACTTACTCAACACTTTCTTCTTTCCGAGAATTCTGATGATATAAACAGCAACAAAATATCCACTCACAGAGACAAGAGCAACTATGGAGGAATTGATATAGACAGAGGCATTGTTCACGTTCTGAAAAAAGGGGCAATGTTAACGGGAATCAGTGAATCATTTTCTTTATTGTATGTTTTATTTCTCGGGTGTCGTGTTTATCACTCTGTATGTCTTCATGAAAATAATTTCATTAGATTTCCCAACTCATTTTTCTATATAGTTATCTATCTTGAATTGTGAAGGCTTTCCTCACACACAACCACTGTTTTTTGCTAACCAAGTTGATATCATCAGGGAAGCTAAATCCAAAGAGTAATTCATATAAATCTAAATGAACCATTAATTTCACAAATAAGGCGCATATTAATGACTAATATTCCCCTGGTTCACACTTCTGATTATTACGTACGAGAGTGAACAACAAAAAATAGCGAGATTACATTCCTCTGCATACGATGCCATTTTTTGGTATTCACAATTCAAACTTTTACATGAATCAGTAGTAAACAGTTGAAACGGAAGAGGGCCTAGGTTGGAACCCTGAGGAATACAAGAGGAAGTGAGATATGTTCTACACTCTTAACAATCGCAATGAATGAACTGATCTCTGCCTGATAGAACTGATGAGTTGACTGGTTGTATTTGAAAAACCAGAACCCGTTAGCTTCTTGAACAAAATACCAAAACCAATTTTATTCAACGTCTTCGAGAAGTCAGTGTATATTATTCGTACATCAACTTGACTATTGTTGAATTGTGAAGCGATTGTCACTGTAGAGCGTTCAGAAACAAAGCCAAGTTGATGGTACCGAGCATTACAAAAAATGGCATCATAGAAATCAATTTCAGGACAATAGTGAAATGAAATACAAATGTTTATGTTCAAATCACTGGTGATTTTAGTTGACTTTTGAATAATAATAATGTTTTTATTCAAGGAAATAGTTCATAAAGAAAACAGTGTTACATGAATAATAATGAGTAAACATTGAAAACATTACGAAAGTATTCAAGATACGTGTATGTGATGATGCTAGAACAAACAAACAAATACACACATCGGAAAAGTCTAGGGATATTTTTATAACATACTAAATATCATAAAAATAAATGCATGAGGTCGTTTAATTTCGATTAAATTGGTACACTCGACCACCCTGTAGATTTCTATGGGTTGAACAAAGCCTGCAAAAACGGTAACTAATCTTTTATCAAGTTTTTTCCAAAAAGCGATCTAAAAAAAAAAATTGCCATTTTTAAAAATATCCCTAGACTTTTCCGATGTGTGTATATACATACATATGTAGTACACATAACCGTAAACACTAACTGTTTCACACATCTAGTAGCGGTAGTGATAAAATTTTTCAACGATTCCTTCTTCGATAGTGCTGTTATGATTCGACATGTCAAAATTATTATCAAATCTGAGGTTTCTTTGATATATCTGATGTGTGGGGTGAAATTTCTTCACTGAAAGCTGGATTGTTATTTTTGTATCAGTTTGTGAATGAAACAGGCGTAATGCAATTTTTCTATGTTTTACATTTTCTTGTAATGCACTGTTTGAATTTTTGGTGAAGTAATGAATATTACATCCCAACACCGAACCTTTATTTTTGAAACATCGACACGTGTTTCAATCACCAAGTGATCATCATGAGGAAGATTGAACTCAATCTTACTCTCTAAACTTAATCTTCCTCTTGAAGATGATCACTTGGTGTTTGAAACACGTGTCGAAGTATTAAAAATAGCGTTTTGGTGTTTGAATTTTCAACAAATTCAATTGATTGATTGAAGGGATAGCATGATTTCTGTAATTCAGGCTGAATATTAGTCTAATGCAGGCATTTTGTACTTCCTGCGTTCTTGCAGGAGTTGTGGAATCGCTTATTTCAACTGATTGGAAAAAGGAATCGAGATTAAGTCTCACATCTTGGCCGCAAAATGTAACCTTCTAACACAGAATTAGTTATAATGTTTCAGACAAAATATTTCGTTAACGAGGACACAAATAAAGTTATAGTCATACGCATTTCTTTTTTTCTGACTTGAGAACTCACCGTTAGACAGATTTGATCCGTTGTGTTTTTAGGCTTTAACACTTCCATCATAGAACATAAGCTATCACTCGAACCATTGTTGAACATTTGGTAATCTTCAATAGCCTGGAACATTTGTGGTATCCACAAACGTAACATATTCAAGCTGAAAACACACAAACATTCCATTTTACCCTATGTTTTGAGTTATAGCAATTTTTAGAACGCTACGAAGGACGATTTCACTGTTATGGGTGTACCTCAAGACTATACGTTAGGGGCTATTGATGGATAACCATAGAAATAGTTATTTGCGTAACAATTTCGGAAAATACTGTTTTTTGGAGTCGTAAGCCTGATTTATTCACTCTATAAACAACATTCTTTCTTTTGAGAGATGCTGTAACCTTCGGGAAAGTGACTGCGTCTACATTTCTCTTCACCAAAATGGTACTTTCCTAACATCGAGTACATGCTCCACAAGGTAAAGGATTACAGAATTCTGCATCCACAGAGGTCAGTGTCAACTTGTTCAAAGAAAAAAAACGGCATCATTGATACTTTTCATCTCCTGAAAACCGAACTGGGTCTAGTCACAAGTTTTTCAATGTTAATTTGAATATTTTAGCAATGATGGACATTTTTGAATATGAAGAAAATTCTCGTTGCTGTACTCATCAAGAAAAATGAAATGAAAGACCCCATTTCATCATTTGAATAAAGGGAATGTGAATTTCTGGAACGTCAACTAGCGTTTCCTAATATGACTAATAACCAGTCCGTGCAGAGCTTGGATGTTGTTAAATCATCTGAAAATGGAACTTTCAACAGGTGATGATCTACTGCAGTGGTCGCCAACCTGTCGATCGAGAGCTACCGGTAGCTCGCGGAGGCAATTCTGGTAGCTCTCACAACGATTTTAATTTAAAAAATACAAACTGCAAAAATCAGAGGAGCTTCCGAAAATTCCACAATAAATCTAATTGTCATAATATTAAACATAAACAGCGGCAACGTTGCGGTGAGCGATCTGCCGCTGACGCCATCAAGCTAGAATCGGCTAGAACCGACCAGCCGGACCAGCGCGTTAGTGTTCGAGAACGATCTGGATTGCTTTGAACGGGATAAACACAGTCCTGTCACGAAGTGTTCTGGCGATGTATTGAATTTATTGGAGCCTCTGGCGACACCCTAAATTTGGTTTTATGAGAGAGAGGACATTGGCAGATCAAGATCTTCAGATGATGTGGTGCTGCAGGTTTTTTCGGGTTTTCCTGCAGCTGAAAAAGCAAATGCGCCACTGGAATCAATAAAGTCGCCCTGGAGCGCTAATTAATTTTCAATTGTCATTGTTGTTTTATAATTCCATGATTTGTGTTATCAATAAATTGACATAACCTCTCAACAAAGTTTGTAAACAATATACCTAATGGTTATGAATAGAGAATTGAACATGGGAAAACGAATTCTTTCATAGGATTAGTTTTGAGCTACAAGGTAATTTACCACCAAATACATAAATTTCAGAAACTTCGGTGATTTAAAATTCAGGTAATAATTCAAACGTAACGTATTATTGAAGTGAGTCCCCACGTTTTATTATCCTTCCTTAATATAAACATGTGAATGTCCCATTATATACTGTACCTATTCGAATTCAACGTATTCCCACCTTTGTATAATCAGCATTTGAATGAACCCGACCAAAAGGAATTTTGTAACGTAAGGAAAACGAAATAGAGGCTTCAGTTGCTGATATCCTTCTGCAAGAGCTTGCATTTTTGATCTGTTTGCTGATACGTGTCCGCCATATGAGTTAGAATTGATTTTGGTTTCATCCACCAACTTTTTTATCTGAAATACAACACAAATGGAAAAAATGTTTTTGATCATATTCATATAGACTCACAGGACTCTCAAAACCGTTATTTTTAACACTTTGACACGTGTTTTCGATCACCAAGTGATCATCTTCAAGAGGAAGATTAATATATCAAAAATGTATATTTAAAAGCGCCCTCCCCTCCGCCCCTGCTTTCAAACCGATGAATGGATATAAAAATCGAAGGCTAAGCCATCAAAGCAAGAGTTTGGCAGCGATAAGATGCTTCTTCCCAAATACAACGAAAGCTATAAAATCAACATCTAGCTGTCATTATTTTCGAATCATACTTAACCCTGCGGGCTAATTATACATCATTCTTTCAATTTTATTCACTGTCCTGATCGAAATGAACCAATGATATCAAAAATCAAATATATTTGTGACAAAATATTGAAATTTTGCAAAAATACTTCTACAGAAATTCATAGATCCAAACTCTACTGGGACAACTCAAATGAATATGTAAATCAAATAAAACACACCAGTACACTGATTTATATAACCTCATGAAAACAAAAGAACAATTCAAACTCCTTCTGGGAAACCGGCAACTTATGTGTGATATCCAAAAATCTCAAGACAATAATCGGAAATTTCCAATTCGAATGGAAAGTAGTCTGTAGAAAAGATGAATATGTTTTTCCTTCAAGTCAATTCTTCAGAGAACTTTTATTTTCATACATCTGGAGCAACAACGGGCCAAGAACAGAACCCCGAGGGAGTTCGAATCAAGGAGGTTACATACAGCACCATCTGCCCGCGAGTAGATCAAGCAAGGAGAGTTACAAACAAGCATACAACCATACATAAATTCAGGTGCAGCTAATAAAAGCGTGTTAATTAAAAACAACTGTATATTTTGATCTAACTTTTATCATCTGGACATAGTGAACAAGAATACTTACAGGAAATGTTTCTCGTGGTTTTCCTGTATTAATACTATAAACCATTTGCAGAATTTTCAAAGCTTTATCATTGTCTCCCATTGACATCAGAAATTTTGGGCTTTCTGGAAGGAACAGGTAAATTATACCGCTCACAAAAGGAGAGAGCCCGCATATGAAAAGGAGCAGATTCCATGAGTGCAATTCTGAAAAATAAGTATTTCCTTCATCAACACCACTAGCCTATATTTTAAAGAAATGAAAAGGGTGTTATCAAAAATAACCCAGATACTTTTTTGAAAACTAAACCTTAATATAACAGTAAAGCTACTTAAGTTCCCAACAAGCTGGAAATCAGTAAGATTGTGAGAAATATTATTGAAAATAAAATTTGAAAGATTCCCATTTTCCTCTGTATGGAAAAAAATGTTTTCAAGGTCAAACAAAGGTCAAAAAAAGGGTTTTTCGCAAACCTCCAGTAATATTCATTACTACACCAAAGGTTCCAAACAGTGCATCATAGGTATTTTTTCATTGTTTATTTTTTTCCAGTTTCTATATTATATCCTATTGTAACAAACTCATTTGAGTATATATCAATTCTGGTACCTTTTTAGGTAGGTATTTTTCAAAAATTCCATCTCTCTTTCATTTTTTTCTCATATTTCAAATGTTTCAACACTTTTCTAGACAAAGGAAAGCCAAATCTCAAACATTTCACCTCTAATGTCTTTGGCTAATATGCCTGATGTGTCTGTANCATTTATCAAAGCATCTGTGTTTTGATCTATACATCATATCTTTACCTAGGAACCCATTGAAAAGGGACCATTTCCAAGATAATGGTAGAATGCCCCATGCCATGAGAGGTAAAACTAGTTGTGCAACACTATTCAGGCCTCCGTTTATCATCTGGATCATCGATCGATATTTTGAACTATGAAATTCGGCTAAGTATGTTGCCATCGCTGCAAACGGTCCGTTTATTCTGAAAACAGAATTTGGCATTACATCCCAAGTGCTATATAATTCCTTTTTTTGGTAGACTAATTTACTTACATCACTCCTCCAAGGAACTTACAAATCATCAACTGTAATTTACTTTGGGAAAAAGCACTCCCAAAAACAAAGAATGCGTTGAAGAAATACCCATAAACCATCAGTTTCTTTCTTCCTAAAGTATCGAAAAGAAACCCCCATATCATTCCAGATGATATCATTCCTGGAAAAATAGAATTCAATTTCGAACTGTAAGACACTTCTCTTAAAATTTTACGATATACAGGGCGTTTTCCAACTATGGCTGACATACACTTCATTCATGAATTAGCAAATGAAAATGTGGAAGAAGCACGGGTAATTCACCAGGACAAAGTAAGTCCATGTGCTGAAATATTCAAAAGGCAACATGCTAGATTATGTGAAGCTGGGAGTTTCAATAAAAATGCAGGCGGTGGTGCAGTCGACGAAAATACCCACATTCTCAGAGAAATCCATTTTCAGCAACACTTTCTGTTGAATCCACAATGAAGATGGGTCCCCAGGCAAAAAAGTTTGTCTATGGTCATCTGAAGGCTCTCGTTTATAAATCTCCTGTACTAGATGTGAATGACTTGAGGAATCGAATATTTGACAATTGCAATGCCATAAGGAATACTTCAGGCATTTTTGAATATGTCAGACAGTCAATCTAGTTCGGGCTAAATAAGCCCCTATGAGTGGTAGCCCCCTCACTCCATAAAACTCCAACTTTTTGAACAGAATATCGTGCGAAACGCAGTCAAATACTTTAGAGAGATCACACATGGTTAATATCACATGTTCACCTCTCTCAAGACCCTCGATAACCAGACTCACAGTTTTTCGAATTATATTTGTTGTTGATCTACCCGTTCTGAATCCATATTGATCTTCACTAAATAATTTATTATCGATGAAAAAGTTCATGAGCCTGTTCTTCAAAATAATTTTAACAGACAGAGACCTGTCTCCTTTTTTAAAAAGAGGCAATACCTTTGTACATTTAAACATATCTGGAAAACACCCTTTTTGTAAACACGAGTTGAATAAAAATGTCAGAGGATCTATAATTGCTTCAATTATACCCTTGATCATTGCACTGTTCATACCGTAAATATCTAAGCAAGAAGAATTTTTCAAGGATATCACTGCATCAATTATTTCTGATGGCGTTACAGGTTCAAGAAAGAATGAAGACATGATGATTTAGCACCATTGAGTAAATCATTCGAAGTGAATTGGACTTTGGGTAGTTCTGAAATAACATTTTCTGCCATATTGATGAAGAATTCATTAAAATAGTGTATTCTTTACACTGATGATGGTCATTTAAATTTTTTGTCATATTTTAGCTTATGACTATATGAGGTCGTTAAGCAATTTTCGGACAATTTTTCTCTACGAATTGAAATTGAACCCTTCGGAGCTTGGTACCAAACATAGATAGGGATGAACTACGATGTCTAACAAGCCCTCTTACAGGTCACTGTCATTTGAATCATCATATGTAGAGACTAGGACTGTCGGAAGACAGTGTATGTCACCTCTGCTCTGATGATGAAACAGCAGAGCACATACTTTGTGCCTGCCCTGCTGGGGATCTGACCTGAAAAACCACTCACCATACAAACTAATCGGATTTGTTAAGAAGCTGGGTTTATTTGGTAGAGTGTGAATGGTTGTGAGACACAATAAAGCCTTGCGGGTTGCGGTATAGGATCGAATAGACCCACTCACTTTGGAGCTAACCTAATGTAACTCATGCGGTTTTTGACGGTTTAAAACGTATTGCAAAGGTCAAAAAACTCGAGAAGTGGGTGCTCCACGATTTGAACAATCAACAAAAACTGTTACTCTTCGAGGTATGTTTTTTTTTGCTGTTGCGCAATCAAAACGATCCTTTTTTGGATCGGATCATCACGTGTGACGGAATGCGGATCCTGTACAATAACAGGAGACGTTGAGAACAGTGGTTGAACACCAATGAATCATCCGGACACTTTCCAAAGGTAAAAACACCATGGTTACTGTATGGTTACGAAATGTACAAAATTTGTGTTAGCAGCAGCCGTTACTGAGCAACAGAAGAGGCAAAAGTGCCCTACCTCGCTTATTTCTATCGAATTGAATGCGTAGGTATTTACTGGGATTTTAGAGTATGAAACAGACTCATCTATGGCGAGTCTCCCGCAGGCTCGAGAAGAGGAAAACTGCTCCCTCCCCTCTTCACGGACAGCGCGGTATCTGCTACTCCCCCTGCCGAGAAGGCGTTGGCCTTTGCAGATACAATGGAAAACCAGTTCCAACTTAACGTTGATCCGGACGATGATATTGATCATGATATCCGGCTGGAACAACGAGTTCAGCATATCCTCAGGAAAAATGACGACGATGTGATCCGTCCAGCTTCGGAGGAAGAACTGAAGGGGTACATCAGAGCCTCCAAGCCCAAAAAGGCTCCGGGAATTGATTCAATCAACAATAGGTTGTTGAAACAGCTCAATCGCCCTCAGATACTTCCCTCGAAGATGGAAGCATGCAGTAGTTGTCATGATTCCGAAACAGGGCCAGAACCCGTTGTTTCCCCAGAATCACCGTCCAATTAGTCTGCTTTGCTCAGCGGCTAAGCTGGCTGAACGTGTTGTGCTGCAAAGGAAACTCTATCCTCTGATAAACCGCAAGTCAAAATTAAATCTTAAGAACAAGATTTTAATATACAACACGATGTTCAAGCCTGTCATTATGTATGCTTCAGGCGCTTGGGGACAAACCGCTCCGACAAATCTCTCCATTCTGGAGAGATTGCAAAACAAACTTCTCAGGATGCTGGTGAATGCTCCATGGTTCGTGCGGAATGAAGCCATCCGCAGAGTTTGAAGCTGTTAACCATACAGCAGTCCATTCAGTTGAGGAATGAGAGAGTTTTCGAGTCAGCGGAAACTCATGATAACCCATTAGTTAGGGAAGCTGTAGATTACACTATAGACGACCCCACTCGATTCAGAAGGCCCCGTCGCTCGGTTGAGTGAAGGCCCCACGACGTCTGTTAAAATGAACAGTTTGTTCATCAATACTCCAGTCAGGAAGGGGTACACAAGGCCAGAGCGGCATAGATGTCATTGACCTCTATGCCGTTAACAAACAACACCGCTTAGTTATGAACCACTCGTCCTCATGGCGAAAGACAGTTAAAAGGGTACGGGAAGAGATTTTCAACCTGATCAAAATCAAGATGGATTACGTCGAAACAGACTCATTAAAACCAACAAAACTTTGGAAGCAACCTAATTTCACCTGATATCTTCAATTTTGTTCATTTCAGTTTTCGATTCATCACATAGAAGTAAATTAATGAAATTAATTTTCACCCACCTCTTTTAGAGTCGGATTTTCTTGGACCATCTAACACAAAAACCGGATTTTCCTTTTCCATATTCGTTTCATCTACTCAATTCACTATAGACACATATATCAAAGTATAGACATATATCAAAGTTATTTCATCTGAATCAGTTTGATTTCCCCAATTATACTTGTGATACAAAAGACTAGTCATATAAATATCTGTGCTCAACAGTTTGTTATTATTGGGATAACTTCTTATCAATAACTGCGAGTATGAACAGCAAATTAAATTACAAAATCAAATCTACTGCATGTACGAATAAACTATGTTTTGTTCGTTGGTCAGGTCAGGCTCCGTGGAAATCAATGTCTTCAAATAAATGATATCTTTTTCAGCTACCCGCTAGGTGGCATTAGACGTAACTAAATATTTGGAATTACCGCGTTGGTTCGAGAAAGTTCTGGTTCTAGCTGGTGTATTCCGATCACCTCGGGATGGCAGTAATAATTACATATAAAAAGGCTTGCGGCGCGACTGCGAGTTAGTCTGCGTAGGAAAGGCGAAGGAAGCGAAACTGTCTATTGTGAAATAAAGTAACACCCGGCAATAAAAGTAGTTTGATTTGACTTATTGTTTTTATGTGTGATTTGTTAGTATGGAAAAGAACCGAAAATCGACAGTGAATGCAGAACGTTCTAAGAAAAATGGAACTTTCAGTATTTTGTGATTGAGTCCAGTAATAAGGCGATGATAATTTGCATAAATTTGCTCGTGGGTTGTTTTCTGTTTTTGGTACTACTTACTTGTGTGAGAAAACGTTTTCCAAGATGAAGTACACAAAGAATGTTTACAGATACAGATCTCAATTAACCGATGAGCATCTTAAATCTCTTTTGATAATTGGTACAAGTAAAATTGATGCACAACTAGAAAGTATTGTCGATGGGAAATCACAATTACATAAATCCCATTAATGTTTTTGTTTTACTGTGATTCATTTCAATTATTTGTTAGTTATTAATATGCTTAAACTCAGATACTTAAGTTAAGTTTTCTTCTTAACTGACTTAACTGACTTCTATGAATTTCAATCAAAGTGTGAAATAATAACAAACATGGTGAAGGCATAATTTTCAATTTTTTACAAAACTCTTGACAATGATCTCTGAAACCAATTCTGGCAAGTACCCTTATTGCCTTCTTCTGCATTTTAAAAATTGTTATCACATGGGTGGAATTACCCCGGAGAGTAATGCCATAGCTAATGTGCGAGTGAAACAGTGAAAAATACGTGGTTTTAAAAGTTGTAAAATTAGTTATTGTTTTCAATTGTCTTAAAATGAATAAGGAACTAGATAGTTTTTTAACTAAATGATTAATATGTGTCTGCCAGTTTAGTCTGTGGTCCAGCACTAATCCAAGCAGTTTTACGCTTTTTGTTTCTTGATTACCAGTTGAATGGTTATTTGCTGATATTTGCATTATTAGTAGCACAAGTCAGTGAAACATCCAAGTTTACGTTGAGTAAACGTTGAGTCGTCTGCAAAGAGAACTGACCTATAGGTGACATAAAGCAGCTGAGGTCATTAATATAAATGATAAAATGGAGGGGGCCCAAAACCGAACCTTGGGGTACCCCATGACTAACAATCTGAAAGTCTGATGTTTTACCGTTCACTGAAACGCATTGTTTTCTATTGGAAAGATAAGAACTAATACATTTCAAGAAAATTCCTCTAATACCATAATAGTTTAGTTTTTCCAAGAGAATGTCATGTGACACACAGTCAAAAGCTTTCGAAAGATCGCACAGCATTATATCACTTGTTCAAGTGATAGATAGACCGAGAAAGAAGAGAAAATACAGTAAACTCAAGAGACTGCAAGGTTTTGCAAATTCTTGGAGGAATTGATAATTCATTGAGCGGGGAAAATGGTAGATGATGCCATATGATGACAAAAACTGAAACCAATTCTTTCTCTGATGACTTCAACTGGATTGGATACTCGTTTGTTAAGAAGAGTGTAACGGTTCTGGTGTTGGAAGAAGTATTTCTTTCAAACTCAGTATGATAATTTTCAGAGTACTCTACTTGTATCAATTGTTTTGTCGACTAAATACAATGAAGCATTCAGATAAGCGGCCAGTATATGTATATCATTTATAAACGTTTAATTGTTGAGTATGGTTATCTATTGTTTGAACACTAAGTCGATGACAATTATTTAAATTTCTATTAATATAACGAAACAACCAAAAGTATTGTGAAATAATCGTACACTTTATGGAATTCTGTTAATGAAAAAAAGTGGGAATATTGACTTTTGAATATAATGTGAGAGCTCTCTTCACGGCCGGAGATTGAGTCCGGCAGTAGGTTACATAGCAATGGTTTTCATGGAAAACAATAGGCTAATAGGATCAAGTGGTCGTGAAACCTTATTTAGGCCTACAAAAACTACCAGAAAAAGTTTGGGGTCAGCTGAGGACACCAGAAAACCTTTAGCAACACACAGGGTTAACCAGATTTCTTATAGATATTGGTCCACAGTGGCAAGCTGTACTATCATCTTCATCGCTCTTCTCAAACTGAACGTTTTATCTTCTTATTTGTTCTTTTATATGGTTAGAACGCCTTAGTGCAGGTATTTGTCCTCTCCTTTCGTTCTGATGTTTCTTTAAATTTGCCTGTACTTGGGTTACATCAAGTAATATCATTTGTGTTGGTGCTTCTCTAGACTAGAGAAACAAACAAGAAGATAAAACTTTCAGTTCAGAAGATGATAGCACAGCCTGGCTAGACTCTTATGTTGAGTTGAAATCCTATAACTCAGTGTATTGAGATTTTTCTCAACACCTCAGGTGGATTCAGGCACAAACACAACGATTATTTACCCAAATTGGTCATACTAGCAGGTGTTCCTGTGAATAAATTTGAAAAAGACACAACTGAATTCAGAAAATGTAGAACAATTTTTAAAAAGAGAAAATTAACTAGTTCTAAAAATGTTCTAAACCTACACCGAACTAATTTATTGTGAATATCGGAACGCACTCTTTGTTAGAGTTTTCTAACATCCGGAACTGGAACTTGGACTGGAACTTGGTTCATCAGGTTGGTTTTTTTTCGTGGTGTTCATCTTCGTCGCCTTGAGAAGAATCCCGTTGTTGATAAGAAAGTTGAAAATCTCTTACTTTCCTTATTACCAACTCTCAATTTTGATGACTTCAAATTTTCAACTTCAATATTACAAAAACTATCTATTATATGATTTTCATATTTGTTCCTAAAGTTAAATACATCTTTACGTAACAATTATGTACAGAAATGTTTAACCTCACTTATGTCTAAATATAAATATTCTTCAAAAGCATCACTTGATGTACTTATCTATATTATTGTTTACAACAATAATTTTCGAATTTTTCATCATTCCTAAATATTTACAATAAGTTTATTATGTTTTTTCCAATTTTACATAACAGATATTTTGCTTTCATCTGACATTTATTTCCAATCGGCTGTCTGTTAAATCAAGACTGAAAGCTGCTCTCATAGAAAAAAATGTCTACACCCTTGAGGAATTTGAGGTTAGGTGTTTTTTTTTGTCTTCTTCAACATTCTTGTCACTATTTGACATTACCATTAACTTTTCAATTATAACCATGACCCTCAATTTTACTGTTGTAGTATTTCGCTAGTTATATGTGTCTACATATATGTTTCATCTTTTCATCTCAATTTAGATAAATACTTGAGTTTTAATATATGGATATGAAAAGCACAAATTCTTATAACGTTCTTATTGTTATTGTACTGATAGAATTATCCACTGTAATGTACTTTTTAACAAGCGAAATAAATGAATTATTATTATTATTATCACTACATTTCGGCAAGATCCCACTTGCCATATTCATGTGCTCTACTCGGTTCAGCTACCAAGCAGAGCACAATATTATGGCAAGTGGGTCTTGCCGAAACGTCGTGATAATGTCAAAGACGAACGTATATACACCCAGTATAACATTTCGGCATGTATCTATCTATACTATTCGTGAAGGACTACGTGTCACAACTGACTGATAAAAATGAACGAATGAATATCTATATACTTGTATCTTTTATTGAAATAATGTCTCATGGCAAAAATAATTCTCTAAAAGGAACTTTTAGATAAATTTTCCTGAAAATGTTGTTATGTATCACCAGAAGAGTCTCCAAAATAGACTGTTTCAAATCTTCGTTGACCAGTTCCCAGTTGTCGTTGAGAACCTTATTGATTTCGTTACCTGAAAAAAAAACAGGATTTTATTCAGCGCTAAAATCATTCAAACATAGATCGTAATTATTTGGTATTGACAGAGAATGAGAATTTACTCCATGGGCGCATCGAGCTTTCTATAAAAGGGTCATCGATTTTTTTTTAAATAACGAAACTAAAATGTCATATGACAAAATATTGAGATGCGAAACTATCGGGAAATGAAATATATCGAAGATAGATAATGGGGTACTTACTGAGAATCTCGTTACCGTCGAAAAGATTACCCAACAATTGGATTCTTCACCCCGACCTGTCTGAATATTTGGTACAAACGCCTTTTAACTTTTTGTTGAATCAATATCTATCCCTAAAGACGACTCAGGTATCATACCTTTTGACCATGACTGCGTAAGAAACACCATATCAGTATTTTTTTTAATTTACAACCCCAATCTAAGAGAAGTTTCAATTTGAGTTCAAAACAAAACGTAACTTTGTTAAAAATATCCTTTTTGAGGTCTATCATTTTGAGGGTACGGAACTCTGAACGCATCTCATCTCAGTGAAAAGTTTCGAATTCATTTCAAAACAATACGGAACTTCTTTGAAAATATCCCTTTTGAGGTCTTTCATTTTGTTTTCAAACAGATTTCCCCCATGTTTTACGATTTCCTTTTGTTCCTATAGAACTTTGAACTCATCTCAACGAAAAGAGTCTAATTCAGTTCAAAACAACACGGAACTTCTTTAAAAATATCCCTTTTGGGGTCTGTTATTTTGATTCCAACAGATTTTCCCCATGTTTTCACGATTTCCTTGTGAAGCCACAACTCATCAAAACCTCAACAATTCCAACCACCAACTTTCGATCCATTTTCTCGCCTTCCACAAATATCAGATAGCTCACATAGTGTTATATTTGCTGGCCCATGGCCGTTGATCGGGAAAATCATCAGGTGTCCAGTCATCTCATAGTCTGATAAGATTTCCAAACGTGGAACTGTGCTCAAAGTGTGTGCTTCCATTTTGTCGAAGTCAACGCTGAAAAAAAAGGGCCGTAAGAACAGCGAATTACATCATCATCCACAACAATAACTTACTCAATATCCAATACCTCTACTTTATCCAGACCAAAGACTTTTATATTCTTAGCCAGCAAGTGGAAATTTTTGCCTCCCTGAAGGTCTACAAGCGATATTCTCAAAGGGTTCATTGGGGGGATTTTCAAGTGCTTGTCTCCTGGAGAAGAAAAAGAACAAGGTCAGAAGTGCCAGAACTTGGAGGCCACTTAATCAACTTACCATTCAACAGATGAGGTATGGCCTTTTTGGCGTGGTCTAATGCACAGGCAGTGAAGTTGTGTGTCTTCGAGCATGGTTCCAGGTATTTTGCTGCAGGGAAATGTAGTCATCAGTTATACAAAAATCGTGACTGTTTATATCGAAAGAAAAATGGGCCAATTATTCTTAAAAGGAATATCAACATCAAGTTCGGCCAAACATAACTCGGAGAACAAAATGTTGCTGGTGCTACAAACAATGTATGGTCGAAGTAAACGATATTGTGAATAGTTAAAGGTGTCGGCGCCCTCAAAGGCCAAAATACCGTTACAAAGGAATGATGCCGCTGCCAATGAGTCCACGTGGACTGAAGAATTGGCAGTTCGTATTGGATAATTTATACTAACCGAGATTTATGATTGGCTGAAGAGTCATAAAATCAAATTTGGAGTCATGTTACGGCGACGAATAGAATGCGAGGATGTTTATACTCGTTGTGTTGTCAATGTTCAGTTCAGGAACTGGTCGCGATTTGAGTGTTGAAATTTGATATTGGTGCAGTTATAATTACTTAAAATGTTTGTTATCTGTTCAAAATGTGGCGTCCTTAGACAAGTACTAATAGTAACAACGAGTGTGGTAACAACGCAGACTTTTTCCTGTGTAGTGATTCCAATGGCGATAGTGAACAATGCGAAAAAGAGATACTCAAGTTTGGTTTAGAGGGAAACAAACTATTACAAGCAACATCAGATTTGAGCAAAATTCCTTTCTCAACTGTACGTAAAATAGTCAAAAAGAAACCTTATGAATGCAAGACGCGATGTGATACGGGATTACCAAAACTTTTTGATGTTCATCTGATAAAATCATTGAAAAAACAATATACGACTGTTACAAAAGCAATGAGGTACCTACAATTGAAATCATAAGGAAGAAATTGATTACTTCCGGCCATAACGTGAGTTTCTGTGACAAAACTCTTCAGAATTGGATAAAGAAACTAGGATTTAGATTTAAAATAATGAACAAACGTCAAGCAGTAGCAGAAGTATAATGGAATTGTGTAACAAATAACTGAATATAGACAAGAACAACGTCAAATTTTCTATTTGGACGAAACTTGGTATGACACTCACGATACAGTTATGAAAGGGTGGACTGATGGTTCGAGAATGTGTACGCCTAACATGCCTGCAAACAAAGGATCGCGACTAATCATTGTGAATTGCGAAGGAAGTAAAGGATGGGTTCCGAATTCTTTGAAATTATGTGGAAAAAACTTGACGACTGCAATGTTGACTATTATAAGAACATGGAAGCTAATATTTTTGAGGAATGGTTTGAAAACACATTGATCCCAAATTGGGATGCGAATAGTGTAATAGTTCTTGACAACGCTTCCTATTATTCACGACAGCTCATCAAAGTACCGAATAAAAATTCGAGGAAAGATGATATACAAAGTTTTTCAATGGATAACAATTTGTATTTTGAAGATTACTATACCAAAAACCAACTACTTGAAGTTTTACAGACAAAAACATTTGAAAAAGTGTATGCCCTTGAGAGCATTATTGAAAAGTACGGACACGCCATACTGAGATTTCCCCCCTATTTTTTTGTTTTCAATCCCATCGAGTTGATTTGGGGAAAATTGAAACAAAGCATCAGGCGTGAAAATAATTTTCCAAAATTTGATAAGAAGGTAATAGAGCTAATTGAAGAAGAAGTATCTAATATTACCGAAGAAGACTGGCAGAAAAGGAATGAAAAAGTAATTTTAGTTGAGAAAGACTATATGGAGATTGGACACTTCCATATTAATGGTGGAAATAAAATTATTATTGATTTAAATGACGACAGTGATAGTGAAACAGAGAATATGGAAGAGGAATTATCAGAAGCTTTCGAAGAAAGTTAGTTATTGTGAGTCTTATATAATTAGAAATGATCATTGAGAAACGAAAATATTTAGCTCCCTAACTATATTATTAAAGGGGAAATATACTTTCACTTGTCGCATGAAAGCAAAACAGAATGATTATCTTATTTAAAAAACACTTCATCATGAGATTTTCGCTAAACAGTTTTACAAAAACACAATACATGTTTCGCCATACAATGGCTTCTTCGGTCATGTCTCTACTCTTTACAGAAAAGATACGCCGCGCCGGGTGCTGAATAAAATAAAATAACAGGAGTTTTAGCAGAATAGTTCTGAATTCTGCTGAGTGTGGGTTTCAATAGAATGTTCAACAAAAGAAAACGACGTGGAAAATTTAACGTTGTATATTCTTTCTTGCAAATTGGAAAAAATCACTTTTGTGAGAATATAATGAGCTAAAAAAACCAGAAGATTGTTTTGTTTCTCAAGGGTTGAAACGGAATCACCTACTATTATGAATATTCCGACTGAAAGAAGAATGAATTCAATAATTTCCATCAATAAACCTCATAATAATGACTGTCAATGCAGTTCTAATCACTTCTGTGATTTCCTGAACTAATCTACTCCAATTTTTCGAAAAAAACATATACAAGAATAATTAATAACTATTCCATATTACTGGAGTTTTTTCCCAACACTAAACCGTTATTTTAACACAAACACACTAGTTTGATCTTCCTCTTGAAGATGATCACTTGGTGATCGAAACAGGTGTCGAAGTGTTAAAATAATGGTTTGGTGTTGGGAAAAAACTCCTAATATTCATTACTACTCCTCGTTATTTATGAAACAAAGACACAAAAACAACAAAAAAAGGGAAATGTCCCACCATTTCATGAGATAAAGACACAATAAACAACAAAATCAATTTAAACAATTTTTTTTTTACAACAGTCACTGAAAAATAAGGATTTTTTTACCAATTTATGAGAAATGAAAGAAACAACAACATTTGATAAAAAAAATTCTGATAGCTCCAGAAAAACGTGAGGCGTGTAATGAAATTTTGGAAACCACTTAAAAAGTTAAAATCCAGTTAAATCACAAACGGATCCATTAAGAATATAGGACAAATATTTGCAAGACTCTCGAGAACACCTTGTATGTTGTCAAAAAAATTCATAAAAAAATGCTTCAATCTCAAAGAAGAATAGTTGGCAGCATAAATCAATCATAAGTATTGTAGTTACTTCAAGGAAAATAATTTTTGACACGCAATACTGTTTTGAAAATTTGCAGTCATCAAAGGACTTGAAAGAAAGTACTTACGTCTATGTAGAGCTGTTACTGCTAGAACTAAAGTGAAACAAATCAATAATACCCGAACCATTTTCATTATTTCACAAAATGGGTCTTGATAACTGAGAACTGGATATGCCCCAACAAATTCTCCAACTTATACGGCATCAAGGCAATTAGTATGTGCTTAAATTCCAATATTGGGAATATTTTCAAATGCAGCTTTCTTCAGAGAAAGTTTCAAAGTATAATTCAGATTTTACGAGAATGTGATGGAATTTTTTAACGGCGATTGAAATTGTAGTTATTACTTTAACTTCTGACTGGATTTCTAGCCACAATTTGTCTCGGATATAATAAGTCTCAGTGAGATTATTTTTTGAATGTATCATGCAAAGAGGTAACTCCATCCACAAACTGGAAGGAAAACCCTCCTAGAAACAATTATTTTCATATAAATACTGAATTACACGAAAGAAAAATAGTTTCGAAACAAATACTTTTACATGAACGCTGAATTAGACGAACAACATTTTTTAATTCAGTTTGTATTCAAAACATTCTTAATGGAATCGAATCAGATATCATTCACAGGATTCCTACACAATATAGTTAAAGAAATATGTAAAATTTCACTTACATGAAATACTGTCATCCTCACTGGTAGACACCTGAATGTTTCGCCTTGCCTTATTGGCTCTTCAGTACCAAATACGGATAACTATATGAGAAAAAAACACTCAATTTGTTCGTAAAGTTACGTGTTTCTATCATAAAGTGGACAAATCCACCCACCAAGAAGTAATCGTAAATAACGTCACCATTTTATGACATATTTTCATCAACAGATTTATTCGAAGTTTGACCATGATTTCGAAAGTGATTAATTTTTCAAAATATCGTTTTTGGAAGAAAGAAAGAAAATACAGTTTGAGATCACCCCTTAAAAATGAGCAATACTAAGAAGAGACGTTCTTTTAAAGCATCTTGCTTTAGGTATCGGGACAAGAAAAAGTCAAGTAGAGCTGAATCCGGAGATCTAACCGACTGTTACTGCTCTATATTAAACCTGAATACTTTGGGTTTTCTTGAGTCGAGAGGCCTCATCTTTCCACAAAACTTTGGAGAAAAAAGTATCTTCTTCTTCTTTCCCTGCTTCCAGAAGAGAAACTCAAAATGATTGCCAAAATTTCGTTCCTTGAGAGTATTTATCCATTTAGGTTTATGAGTTTTTAACTCATTTTTGTGCAAAATATTTCTTATTCTCTCTCGAACTTATCGCCAGTTCTAAAGAGCGACTGTATTGAAATGAACATGAGCTGTGCTTGTCAATCTTTCCATTTCAATGGTTTCACCGCTCATTTGAGTTTTTGATGAGGTGAAATTTCAATAAACCGATATTTTTTAGTATCCATTTTAGCATGGCTGCAGGAAAGACGTGAATGAAAGGGTTTCAAATCGAATCATTGAAACTAGATGAAATTCGTATAGAAATCAAAAATGAAAACTATCGAGGATAGATATAAACATACCAAATATTATTCTCTCCCAACTACATACACAATAGACTCTGGTAAACGTCTGTCGGAAAACAATCAGAGCCTAGAAACTGATATTTCGAAATTCATTGCGGAATATTTTTTTTCAATTCCGTATAGTTCAAAGTTAATTTATTTTCCATCTGATACAGACTTTACTAATGACACTGCGTCAATTATGATATTTTTAGACATTTTCAAAAACCAAATTTTCCATAAATGTACCTTCTACAGGGTCAAAAACAGATGGTAATGAAAATGTTGATGAACCAAAATTTGAAAAACCCACAGTGATCCATGTAGTGATCACAAGAAAGTGATCACTACGATTCATCTCATGGCTTCAATTATTTTGCAAATTATAGGTTCACTACTATAACTGCCTTAAGGTCTGTTCGAAAAATAAGGTGAATTTTCATTTTTCTCTAAGAAAAATGTATTTATTGATCAATTTCCATTTTGTCGCCTTCAAATCAGTCTCCATCAGATATAATACACTTGCGCCAGCGTTTTTTCAATCTTGGGAACAAAAAAAAGTCGCAGAGAGCCAAATCTAGCAAATAAGGTGGCTGATGCATGATTACGGTGTTGTTTTTGGCCTAAAAATTGCGAACAAGATAATACTACTTATCGGCCATACGACCATGTGATGACCCATGATGACTGGGTCATCACCCGAAACGTCGTGAAGTAACAGCTTGAATAGATAATTAAATAGTATTTGATAACGTATGATAATTACTCCGGATAACTTGGCAGACGACTCACAAACTTTTAGTTTTCATTATTGTTGTAATGTTAACTATAAAATGTGTGTACCAGTTCATGGGTTTTTTTAGAAAGACTTGTGGTTTCCAGGAATCATTCTGAAAAATCTCACGTAGAAAAATAACAGATGTCGGGTGATAAAACATCGCGTTTGATTGAATATTTATTTACGTAAGTATTCATATTGAAATGCCTCTTCTTGGAAAACATTTGAATCTTGAGTCTGATTTGAATGCACAAACGTACTTCTTTCTGGGTAATGACTGAATGCTTTTTAAATAATAAATGTATTGCAAAGCAACGCACGAACAAGCTTATATAAAGATCACTAAGAGATGAATCAGTCGGAGTTAGCTATTTGTTTATCCAAGATGAAGTTCCTTTTATACGCCTTTGTCTATTGTTTAACATCTTGTGTTGGGGCATCGAGGATTAATCTACGTAAGTTTTGTTCTGAAAAAAATTGCTATAGAATGTAAACCGTATGATATTTTACAAAATGCCAACTTCCAAGAATAATAATAATGGAGCATGTGCTTTCTATGGATACGGTACCACAACTTTGACAGACTTTGCCAAAAAATTATTGATACTTTGGAGGAGTTTCTAACAGATTTAACCGGAAGTCATATATTTTACTGATAATTGACCAAAACAATCACCTGTTAATAACCTTTGATAACTAACCAGCAGAGTATTTCTCTCAACTAACTGGTACTAGATGTGAGTCCATAGCCACAGGCACATTATATATCTCCGATATATAGGTAAGAAACCTCAAAACTGCGTTTATATGCCACAATTATCAACATATGAATAAAAACCTACGAGTATAAACACAATGCACAATAGTAGGTGAAATAATAGACCCAGGATTACTTCTTGGAGGGCTATTGAAGCATTGTAAAGTTCTGAGGGATAATTCTGGATAAAATCAATTTGTCTCACCTGCTCAGCATCTTGACTAACAGACAAAAGATGAATTTAGTAGGTTGACATTGAATTTGCGTGTATCAAAAATAAAACTGGACCCAAAATAGACCCTTGTGGAACTCCGCAAGTCATAGTTTTCAATAGCATTTTTCCTAGGCACACAAACTTTTTGCTGTTTCCGAAACAACAGACCATTTATGAATAATCCTTCCAAAGCTGATGGTAATGGAGTTTATTAAAAAAAAATTATGAGTAACTGTGTATGCCTTCCACAAATTGAGATATAACAGTCCACATTTCATATCTCTAATTATTGTTGAGTATCACTAGATCTGTGACAGACTTTGAATATAGGAGAAAATCATGAAATTTTACAGTTACTGGGGAAGGTGCCTGATTTTGATGTTTTGTTGACTATTTTCTTCTTAATTGGGGTCAATTTTGATCTTCACAAAGCTTATACTCAAATTGTATCGTATCCAGAGGCAGAGGTTTTGAAATATTGTCTTCAATTTCTTCTTCACTTGAAACAGTTCAGAATTCTGGTCAGAACCTTCTGTCTTTTTACCATCTGAAGTGATAATTGCTTCTACATTTTTGTTTTATCATGTCAAAGTTTGTTAATAGATTTCCATATTCATTTGGGAGATACATCCTCAATTTCTTCGTTCTAAAATTTTGTTCTGTATCTTTTACAATTTGTTCAACTGACTAGTTGTAGCATTTATACACACCACTCTTTTTGTGGACTCTTTTTCTTATTAAAGAGATATGTATCTCTTGTTTTTATCATTTCACTTATTTTTCAGTTTCTATTTATAGAAAAATAGGTGATGACATAGTTGAAAATGAAAAAGAGTCTTTGTGTTGTTGTTTTAAGAACTGCGTATCGCCGGATGTCGATTCAGCAAGCCAGCATTGACATTGATCCATGTCACCCAAGGTCACCCCAAGGTGACATGGATCAATGTCAATGGGTATGACTAGAGAAGACCAATGAACAACATATAACATACCTATTGATGAAGTCGCACCTCAATAACATTTTCTCTTCATTGCAGCTCCATACCTCAAGCCTTGTTCAATCAGTTCCCCCGATTTTGAAGCATGTTGCCTTCAGCATGGAAGAGATGCATTGCCAATGATTTTGAAAGGCGACAAAAAGTTGGGGATCCCAAACCTTCTTCCTCTAGTGGTGCCGCATATTCTTGTAGATGCTGGAAAAAATTTGAAGATAGCTTTTGATAATATCCACGTATTTGGACTAGATGGAATCGATTTGAAGCAAGTGAAGTGAGTAGTTCTTCGTCAAGTTAATCTCAACAAGGTAATATCGATCTTCTCTGTTTCGGAATAAATGAAAAAATATTCAATATTTCAATTGGAAAAACCACTACGCCTAAAACTTCATGCAGTATATGCGAATCCGTTTGCAGCACTTTGATCCTTTCACACATTTTTTCATTTCAAAAATGAGTATTGGTTGATAATCTGTATCGTTATGAAAAATCTGTATCATAATGGATATCATTATGAAACGGATTATGGTCATATAAGTGTATTGTTAGAGTACGGGTGTAGAAAAAATAATATTACCACATTAAAATGTCTATTACATATTACAACAGTCGTTGTAATATCTTCTATAATAAGGACGTACTCAGTATATCGTTATTATATATGTACAATAGTTCATCTGTCTGTGCTACTTTAGATTTTGTGAATTTCATAAAGATTAGGATTTCCTATTTGAAATGAACTATCTATCTACAACTCATAAAACTTTTTTCCAGTTGGAGGACACTACCAATATGACTTCGAATTTTCCACTGAACGAATCAACGGCATAGATCATTTAGTAGTTTTGGACAACGATGTTTTGAAATTCGAATTGGAAGGTGCAAAAATCAGACTTGATAACCTCTTCGATGGAGATAAAGTATTAGGTGAGTATATGGGACGATTTCCGATTTATCAACTCTCGATTTTCAGCTGGTATTGATGATAATATTTCGTGTTTATTTTCTGAACTATCGAGAATGGGATAGCTCCAAAATTACCATATACCAAAGTATATGCTCTGCTGTTTCATCGTTAATGAGGTAGTCGAATAGTCAAGGTGCAGGATTCCCATCTTGATACCCGCGACAACTTTCCATATGAGGGTTTTTGCACGTCAGCTACACCTGACGATGCCTTAGATTCAACCGTGAGGGCTTTTTCGCCTCTGGTTTTGATGAATCATCTCTTGAGCGCCAATGTTTGCTAATCTGCTCATGGGGGGTTTGTTCCTCCACCTGAGACAGATTCTGCGTAGGCCCTTCAAGAATTTGATGCAACGCGGTTTCATAAGGTAGCTCTCTCTTGAGGAGACGACTCAGTCGTTTCCTGGCTGCATCTCCAAACCTTTTTTTTTAGGTTCAGTTATTGGATCAGGAGTTGAAGAGTTGAGAAGCTCTCGCTCCTGATATAAATTTCAGGGAGGTCAGTTGGAGTCGTGAGCTCGATATCCATCTCCTCTGTAGACTCAGCGTCAGAAAGAATTTTTAAGTTTACTCTGTCCATAAAAGTCCCACGAGTAGCTAGAGAAAGAAGGTCAATCTCGGCAGAGCCCCCCATTACCGTGACAAGGCGCCCGGTATCTCGAAGGTTCCGTAGAGATAGCTGATAGGCTCAGTGTCATTCATCCTCCAGGCACGGATAGATTCACTTCAGGATTAAGCACAATATTGATCAATTGATACAGCTCTACTATGCACAAGTTGAAAGTAGGCTACGATACGGTGTGATATTTTGGGGTTTATCTACCCTAGCAAAAGATATCTTCGTGGCACAAAAACGAATTTTACGATCAATGACGGGGCTTTCACACACTGATTCATGCAAAGATGTATTTAAGAGACTGAAAATATTAACATTACCATGTCTAGTCATATCAGAGTTGAGTATGCTAGTATTCGACAATAATAATGAAATTTATGTGAGGAACAAACAAAATCATAGGTTCAATACAAGACGAAAGAATGATTTTTCAATTCCATTCGGAAAATTCAAAATAACTCACCAATCTCCCAGTCATATGGCTCCTAAAATATACAATTCTCTTCCTTCAAATGTGAGAAACTGCATAACAAAACAATCATTCAAATGTAATTGAATGTTCTGTTTGACAGAACAGTGTTTTCATAAACTGGATGAATATTTGTCGTGGCAATTTGCGGTGAAATCAATTTCTTATTATTAGTATAAGTATTAGTATTATTAAATGTAAACAAGTGACTTTTTCCATATGGTTTGTAACTGTCTTAAGGAAATAAATAACTATTATTATTAAGCCAATGTACTCGCCAAAAACAGCAAGCACGGTGGTTCCAACTAACCCAGTTAACTGGTAAAATAACTAAATAGTTTCTTTTCGTTCATACTTATTCTCCCTGTCATTGATTAAAACATAGACACCACCTTATCAGAATCAATAATGAAGCCATTGGTTTGTTTCATGTCATTTTGTGTTGGTCTAGTCTCGAAAATTCGGTTGCTGCAACCTTTTTTATTTTTTATTATGTCCGTTTCTATGACACGAACAAAACTTTGGAAACGATCTCATACAATGTATCCCAACCAAAACTTCTCCCCCACCTCATATATAGATCTACTTTCGACCAATCTCAAGGAGTTTATTCTAGTCATAAAATATTTCTCAACATTTCAGGAGAGCAAATGAACACTTTCCTTAATGACAACTGGAAAGACGTTATTGATGAGCTTGGAGGAGCTGTCAGTCAAACTGTTCGCTCTTTGGGTCGTAACATCGCATCTAGAATTTTCAAGAAGGTCCCTTACAAGGAATTGATTTTGGATTGAATACGGTTTTGTATGTGATTTGCTACAGAATTTTCAATAAATGTCGTAAATAAGTTGGGTTTTTGTTGAACACCTCAATGAACACATAAAGACCTGATCAAAGTTGACAGATCAATATCAAAACATATTTTTTTAAACAACAAAGCACAAGCACTACAGTAAAATCCTTTTTTTGTTCTGATTGCTGCCTGTACAGAAAGATTTTTGGGGAAAACTATTCAAGAAGGCAATCTTGTTGTTTATTCTCCAACAAAGGTACCTTTACTTCTCCGCCTCACCACAATACTAGACAAGCTTGCCAACATATAGTCAAACAAGAACTCAATTATTTATAGTGGAGTGAAAAAGTAAAACCAGTTTTCTAAAAGTTTAATAGAATGTGTCACGGTACTATCTTTAAGGAGAAAATAAAAGGCAATTCTGGTCAAAAAGGCTTACTATACATTAAATGGATTTTTTGAGGATAACCTTGACACATAATAATATTCATGTGTAGGTATGTACAGTGTGACCCATTTTCAATGTAAACACCCCCCTAAAATTTGAAGTTGTGAATCGATTTTGATAATTTTTTTTTAAATGTCAAGTACTAAAAGGTCTACCTTGGGACAAAATTTGAAATGTTTATTAAAGTTTCAAGGCATACTACGATATTTTTTCTTAGTCAAAAATCGGGATTTTTTATTAGCGATTTTTTTATTGAAAAAATCACTACGCCACTGGATTCAGAGTGCCTCTAAACNTCTTGCAGCCATGACACAAAATAATTCGAAGAACTGTAAGGTGAATATTGTTGACAATAGTACACTTAAATCTTTCACAAGTGTCAAACTGTAATATAATTTCCATGGCAACTAAGATTTAAATTGAAATATTAGCAATAAGTTGTAAATTTACTAGAAATGGTGACATCCAAATAAACTTATAGTCAATGCCGAGAAAACGGTGTCAGTTCAATTTTTCAACCGAAGACTCTTAGAGCCTATACAGGTTGATATAAATAATGTCACTATATATCCGGTGGTTGAGTTGGTAAGTTCACATAAATTATGTTTGCTAGGAAATCAACACCACTCAATGAGTATTTTAAGTATACTTCCAATAATAAGTATACCACTCAATGAGTATTTTAAGTATACTTCCAAATAATTGTGATCAATGTACTATAATCTCTATGTTGTATATTAACTCCGTATTATACATCTACATGTTTTTTTTACTTGACGTTTGCTATTTCATTGTTAAATGATCATTTCAAAGGAATAAAAAATTATTATTATTGAATCAACATTCAGGTATGAGAAAGCTGTCCGCCCGTTGGGTGCCGCGTTTACTCACGTTAATACAAAAACGTGTTCAAATGAACATTTTCAAGACGCTGTTAGAGCAGTTTAGGTGCAATAAATCTGAGCTTTGATGCCGATTGATTACTGAAAATGGTACTTAGATACACTATTATATGGCCGAAACATAAATATAGTCCCTGACCCTGAATACGGCACGTGACTTAGCCCAAAGCCACTTCTTTGTGATCGTTCATCTTAAAATTGCGCTCGGAGGACAGATACTATCGTCTAATGAAGAAGTAAACACCCTCGTGAACAATTATTTTGCAGAGAAAAACGCCGAGTACTATTTGGACGGATTAGAGCTGAGAGCATCGCTGAGAAAAATGTGTAGAGTTTAAAGGAGACTATGTTGAGAAAATTGAAGAAAACATTCTGAAAAACTGTCTTGTATCTTCGTTAGGACGAAAACTTTTCAAACTACCCTCGTATATATTTTAATCTCGGAAATTTCCACTCAATCGGCTTTCTGTGCGCATGAGGGTGCAGACTCCAGCTGCTGTTGCCGAAATCGATAGGAACTCGATCCGACAGTAACTCAGAAGCCTTCAGACCGGCCTTTTGTTTTTACTTTCGAAAAATTTTAGTTTCAACAAAAAGAGTTTTCCCGTGAAGCCATCCCCGAGCGGAAGGGATGGATCTAGTCATCCGCAATCCGTTGAGAAATGCCCGGAAAAACCAAAGCACATTCATTTCCAAGGCTGGAGGCAGCAGTAGTCATACAAGGTGGGTCAAGACTTAGAGCAAATCGGGGCTGGTTCAAATGTAGCCTGAGAATTTCGTATGCTGGTATTATTATTATTATCAATATGATTTGGGGAAATGATGTGTTTGGTATCAGTATCATACAGTATCAGTATCATACAGGGAGGACGTGAAAAGTCCCGCCCGTCTATATTTTTGAAAAGGACGAAATGTCAAGGTCAGATAAAAATTACGTGAGATTTCATTACTTTATGATGATTATTTTCTTGCAAACCAATAAAACGATAATAAAATTGGTGGCTAGGCCAAAAAAACAGAATTTTACGTTACTGCTACTTATGATTCATTACATTACGTAGAATGCATTTTTGTGAATTCCTTTTGATTCATACACAGGAAGATCGGGAATTTTTGTCAAAAATAATTTGGAGCGACGAATCAAAATTTACGAGGGATGGTATTTTCAATAGAAGGAATAAACATTTTTGAGCTGATCATAATCCAANAAAAAATAAAGTTGCTAGGACTTTTTGATGGAAGTGGCAACGCCGCAATGCTGAAAATATTTCAGATCAATAGATCAGGTAAGGAAATGTGAGAGGTGACATTTTCAGAAAAATCATGCTTTGGGTTTTCCAGAAACGTCTAACCTTCCATCGACCGTGAGTCACGCTGTATAATTACAACTTTTTTTCCACATTTTTCGATTCATAAACTTTCAAAGGCATCTCAAAACTTTTCAAAGCAATTAAGTTCGTAATAACTACTCTCACACCAACATTGAATACATGAAAAACACTTTTTCCTCCAGTCTATTCTTCAAAAATTCGACATGGAATTGTAACAGATATCATTGAAAGGGAAAACTACCATCTTCATGAATGGAAGAGCATTAATATAACAGTAGTGTAGATGGCCAGCGACATTGGTCCATAAACATATTATTGAAAATATTACTAATTCAAGTGGTGAGACTACAAATGAAGGAACTATCTTGTCAGTATATATGTTTACTGCATTTAATCACGGGGTGGGGAACAAGAATAGAATATTAGAATCGTTCAATGAAGGTTACGATTCAGAACTTGGTGCTGGCAAAAAACAAAGAGTAATGAATGATTTCCTTGAAATCAATGGTTATTTCAGATGCAGAACCTGCAGATTTTGAACGGGCAATATCAGCCGCTGGCTATGGAAAATTCAACGTTATCCTGTACATCGTTTCGACAGCTGCGGGATGGTCATCAGTATTCGAAACAACGACGATGTCGTATGTGTTCCCGGCTGCAGAATGTGATCTACAGCTCACTTTGAACCACAAAGGGATCCTAAATGCAATCACTTACGCTGGTAAGATATTTAGTATAGTTAATAAATACAACAGTAAAACAAGGGAATTGAATTCTGGTATTTGTACATTCTGCGTCCGCCAAACATAAACTCAAACTACGAAATCTCATATTATGTATTACGTGATAACTGCAACCCGAAGACGATTGTGGATACTAACAATCGAAACGTCGTGAAGAAACTTGGCTGGAAATCTTTTAATTTTTAATTCAAACAATTATTAAAAGCGTTCTAGTTCACCAACAATGATATTCTAATAAGTCATATTCAGTACAGGATTGTGGTTGCACATTTGTTGACATAGATACTACCGCCAGGAAAAATATATTATGTATACAGGGTGTTTACATAATATAGGTCAAGGAATGAATTGTTTCCAATATACAGGATATAACCGTATTATTATTGTAAATATCCCATATCCGATTTTGGTGAAATTTAGGAATGTTATTCTCAATAAAACAGTTCATTCAGATTCAATTTGATACAAATTATTGAGTCCAGTGGCGTCTCGGGACACAGTTTAGCCAAAAATATTGACAAAAAAATGCACGACACTGACGATTCTTGTAACATTCAATTTGGAGCTAGGTAAAACTTCTAAAACATAAACCCTTTCTATCCCTTGGTTAATTTTCCTAGCACAAAGAATGGGAATGAAATGAAAACGAACTGAAGCTGAAAAAAAGAGATATGCATTAAAAAGGCAACTTCTGTTTGCCAAAAAAATTATATTACCTCAAAAAAAACATTAATAAACTCCGACTCCTCCACAAAAAAGTCTGTCAAAGAATATCTCATATCGGTATTTTGCTTTATTTCCAGGAATGATATCCAGCGCATGTCTATGGGGTTATCTATGCGATACTTTGGGAAGAAAGAAACTTTTATATATCGGACTACTACTGGATGGTCTATTTTTCCTGATGGCAGCATCTTCCCAGAACTTCCCGTTGCTGATGGTGGCCAAATTTCTAGGAGGGTTCATGTAAGAATGTGATATTCCTTAGATTTTTCAAACAATTATAGTTTTTCGCTGTTACAAATTTTAGAAAACTCAAAATGATGCCCCTCTTTTAAATGCAACATATCCATAGATCAGTTTCGAAAAAATCATTGAAATATACAGGGCTTTTCATGATGAGCGTTAATTATCCGTTTCCGATGGAGATAAA